ATAAAATTACTGTTGTAAATTTTTTGGAATAAGCCAGAATATCGGCAGCCCACTCTCTGCAGTCCAACGACAGCTATGAAGAGCTCAACAGGTTAACAAAATCCAAAGGAAAACAAGAAGGCTTCAGAGAAAACTTGCTGTTCTGTTCATTGTTAATGTTTTGATCAATCAAGGTCAATCAAGAGCAAGTGAGGTCGAGCCATTACCCTGAAAAGTTGATATTAGCAATGAACAGATATTAGCAAGACAGCTTGAATTGTGGACAAAGCAAAATGGAGACAATCGAAATCGAAATCGAAATTTGATCGAAAGCGACCGCTCCGGGAGATCGGTTGACGGAGTTATTGAGAATTATTGGAGATTGGGAGTGCTGGAAGTTATAGGATAGCAAGTAAACACTTAACTCTCAACTGTACAGTAATTATTTGCAGAATCTAGCTAAAGCTCTTGAGACAGGCCATATTGACAGACAAGACCAAATCTGAAAAAGGCCATATTGCAGCATGACAATGCTCGCCTACACACTGCTAAATTGACTCGTTCTACAAATAAGAACCTGGACTGCGAACCCCACCCAGCAGATTCCCCAGATCTAGCTCTATCAGATTAACATTTATTTCGATCAATAGAAAATGCCCTAGTCAGAGAGCACTTTGGAAATGAAAAAGATACTAAAATAAAATCGAAATAAATGCTAATCTGATAGAGCTAGATCTGGGAATCTGCTGGGTGGGGCTTTCAGTCCAGGTTCTCCGTCCAGGGTACAGAACTTTTGATTTGACTTTTGATTTTGCGTTTGACTCAAAATCACTTTTTTTAGGCGAAAGAAGGGAATCACTTTTTTTTAGGCGAAAGAAATTCGCCTTCTACCAATAAAATGGGCACAGCTTATTGAAAAAGATTGAAGCTATTTTGATTGCTTTGATTTTGACTAGATAGCTTTTTTGAATCAGTATTTCTGTGTGAAATTGACAGTAATCAATTGCAGAATCCAGCTAAAGCTCTTGAGACAAAAAGACCAAATCTGAAAAAGGTGATATTGCCTATCGGCCTACTTATCGGTCAACCCAATACAGGGTGCGGCAAAAGTTTGGAGCCGCTTCTTAAGATAGTTAAAATTTTAAAAACTCGCTTTAAAAAGTTAAAAATTAATAATAAATTCTTTATTCGAATCATAACAACAAATAACTCATAACAAATGCTCGAAATTTCCACCGTCCGCTTCGATACACCTCTTCGGACGCTTTGAGAAGTTCGTCACAATTGTGGCACACTCTTGAACAGTTATTTCATTTCAGGCTCGTTTCAGAGCAGCTTTTAAAGCATTCACTGTTTGATACGTCTTCATCGAGATCTTGTCTTCCAAAGGAGCCCAAACGGAGTAATCGAGGGGATTAAGATCTGGCGAATTTGAAGGCCAAATGGTCTTATCCCAAAAGTCACAAAAAAAAAGCGTGAGCTAAATTTTCTGCAATGTTTTCATAGCGGCTCCGAACTTTTGCCACACCCTGTATATTGGCACGCTCAATTGAGCCGAAATGCTTAAACAAGCAAGCAAGCAAGCGGAGCTATCCAGCTATCCAGCGCTTAAGAGGTATCCAGCTAGAAAATTTCAATGTTTTACCATCATATCCAGCATTTGCCGATTGGAAGAAGAGGATTCCAAAGAAGATGACAAGACGAGATCCTTCAGAAAACATCGAATAGATATTAGATTCTCAAATAGATATTAGTTGCTTTATTAAAGTGTAAGTACAACTGATTAACAAGGATTTCCCTTCCCTTATATACCGTTTTTTTCAAAATATTTTTCAAACTCTATTCACAAGCTCTCTTTTCACAAGCTTATCTGTTTTGTTTGGTCTTCTTTTGTGCTCTCAGAAATTTGAATATTTCATTTGTCTGTTGGATTTTACGATATTAATTTCGGGAAGCAAAAAATCAAAACAACAATGTTTTGATTTTTCGGATCATTTGTGAAGATACAATGATGTTTTGTACATTCATGACTTTGAAAAAGTGCTTTCAAACAATAGTATATCTCTTTCATCAAACAATAGTATATTTCTATTTTCAAAAAACAATATTCCAAGCTCGGATACAAAAAAAAAGTAGTCTGTAGGCTGGACGGGAAATTTTTCTCTAAATTTTCTTTTAACAATTTTCTTTTAAACAATGAATTCCAGATTTTGCACAAGTAGAATATGATTCTAACAAAGCTTTGATAAAAATTTATCAAGCAACTGATTATCACAAGGGTTTTCCGTTGACCAGGCTCTGATATCAGCGTAGATTTTCGTGGGTTTATTGGATTTTTGCAATTTCCTCCACAAAACACCCCAAAGCAAATCGAGAATCCAACTCGATTCTCGATTTGCTCGGTTAATTTGATTTGCCACATTGGCTTGTACCTGAACGTTTTTGTAGCAAATGAGACTTTTATGAGTTTCAAGACCCCCAAGGTGTATCAATCTTTCAATCTTTCCCAATCGGTTCGAAATCTTTAGCAATTTTCTCTAGTTTAATTAAGAGCAGTACTATGCTCAGAAGGAAATGAAGGAGTTGAGAAAAGAAGGAATTCAGGGTCAGGCCCAGGACTTTTCAGAACTTGATCTTTTTAAAGGTACTATCGTATTCTCTATCTTAATACACTTTTTTTAAACTCCTCCAAAACGGCCCCTCAAAAAAGTATTGGGTTGGTGAATTGAAAATTGCGGGACTTTGAACTAAAATTTATTCAACATAAAACCATCAATTCATTCGAAATAATTTCCATTATTATTGACGACTTCTGCCCATTTTACAGGCAATTTGCGGATTCCTCTTTCGTAGTAGGATTTTGGTTTGTGTGTGAGACAAGTGTGAGACTCAAAAATGGAGGACTGGAGACTCAAAAATGAAGGAATGTCCCAGTTTGAGCACTTTCTTCAAAAGAAACCCATTTTGGTGTCAATAGAGAAGTTGTAGAGAATCAAAAATTAGGCTTATAGCCAAATTTCCAAAAAGATACACTTAGTAGTTTCGCTTAAAATGCAAGTTTTGTGAAAAATTGGCACAATTTGGCGTAAATTTGGCATTTCTTGAAAACCAAAATGAAAAATTGGTCAAAATACGGCTGGAAAAATGCCCGTACAGTAAGGCAGACAGAAAGACAGACAGAAAGACAGACAGATACCGTAACCCCCCTCCCCTCCCCCTCCTTTTCCATCATTTCATTTGTGAAAATTCGTAAATTTGGCATTTCTTGAAAAGTTTCAAGCAGTTTCTGCTATTGGGTTGGTGAATTGAAAACTGCGGGACTTTGAACTAAAATTTATTCAACATAAAACCATCAATTCATTTCAAATATCTTCCATTATTATTGACGACTTCTGCCCATTTTTGCGCATTTTTGGCAATTTGCGGATTCCTCTTTCGTAGTAGGGTTTTGGTTTTGAATCGAAAGCTGTTTATTTTAGAGCGAATCAGTTTTGCAACATGAGGGCGCGCGTTGTCGTGGAGGAGAACGATCTTTGACTTGAAGGGCCTATTCTTCTTTAGGGATACATTCACCTTTTCCAACTGTTTACTGTATTTGATTGCATTAACAGTTGTCTTGCTATCCAGCAACTCCCAGTACACCACTCCCTCCATATCCCAGAAAACGCAGAGCATAAACATAAAAAAACGGGGTAGGCTAATTTCCGCCATTCTATTGGGTCGGTGAAAACTGCGGGACTTTGAACTAAAATTTATTCAACATAAAACCATCAATTCATTCGAAATAATTTCCTTTATTATTGACGACTTCTGCCCATTTTACAGACAATTTGCGGATTCCTCTTTCGTAGTAGGATTTTGGTTTGTGTGTGAGACAAGTGTGAGACTCAAAAATGGAGGAATGTCCCAGTTTGAGCACTTTCTTCAAAAGAAACCCATTTTGGTGTCAATAGAAAAGTTGTAGAGAATCAAAAATTAGGCTTATAGCCAAATTTCCAAAAAGATACACTTAGTAGTTTCGCTTAAAATGCAAGTTTTGTGAAAAATTGGCACAATTTGGCGTAAATTTGGCATTTCTTGAAAACCAGTTTTTGAATCGTTCTGAAAATTTGGATATAAGGTTGATTTTTGATTCTCTACAACTTTTCCATTGACACCAAAATGGGTTTCTTTTGAAGAAAGTGCTCAAACTGTCACATATGACAATAGCCCGCAGTTTTCAATTCACCAACCCAATAGGTAAGGAGGAGCATCTAATCTAATCATCTAATCATCTATCTTTGGTAGTTCTGGAATACGGCTAGCATTTTTTGGCACGATAGTCTACCAAAAATTTGTAAGTTGATTTTTGAGCGAAATTCATCAAAATCGGTCATCAAAAAAATTGACCAAATCTCAACTTTCACGTTTATGGCTGATATTCGAGGATAATATTGGCCTAGTGAAAATAAGTGAATTTCAAAAAGATGACCGTCTTCTGATGCTAAGATAAAAGCTACAAATGGGTATTCTCCCTCAAAAATCCCCACTTTTCACGCGTTTTCTGAAATCGACGGCCCAGCAGTGATTAAACGACTCTGATTAAAACATAGGCATTAAAGAGATCAAAACAAATTATTAGAAATAAAAAGTAAAAGGATTTATGATAAAATAAAGAAGTCACACTATATGTATAGCTATAGATGGAATTTGGTCTCAATGAGATACATGAAATTTTCAAAAAAACCAACTTTGTGCCAATGTGTGACCCCTGAGACAAAATCAATTCTGACACCACGATATGCGATCAAAGAGCGCAAATTGATGTGATTCAGCGCAAAAGAAATTTTCAGGTGCGCAAAGTGGGCTACTTTTTTTATGGAAAACCCTGTATACTTGCTGCCCCTTTCATTAAAAAGCAAAGTAGTGTTTTGATGAACGATTTATGATGTACCTGATCGGATCATTTATACAAAAAGTATACAGAAGGTTTAGGGATAATTTCTTAAATTTGGATAGAACCCAAAGATAGCTCCTTTTTATCCCGAAGCCGCGGCTGTAGTGGTGGTGGTGGTGGTCGAACCCTTGGTCGTCATTGTCGTAGTGGCTGAGAATTATTCTCACTATTATCGTATAACTCTTTCAGTCGTGAAGAGCAGTAAATTGAGAGGGAGGTAGTCACATGAGCGCCAAAAATTGACCGCCTTTCATTTCAGCCGTTTATTTCAGCGCCGTCCATTTGAGCACGGCTCATATCAGTACGCGTTCATGTCAGCGCTGCGCCAAAAGGAAAAGCGGAAAAGCGGAAAAGCGTTAAGTTGCGTAGTTTTTGCCTTTTAGTCCAAATTTGACGTATCAGCGAGGTCTACTTTGTCGAAATTCGGAATCTACGCATACGATTCCCTTCTATAAAAACATTTTTGAAGCTCTACGACCTTTCCTAAGGCCTTTTCCACCAAAAAAAAAGGTGCGCAAATGTCCAGGTGCGCAAAAAAAAAGGTCGCATTTGTCCCACTCCCCAAATTTACACATTTTCATCAAAAAAAAAACCTTAAATACGAGCGAATCTAACAAATTTTTCCGCGCATTTGGTACCTACTGCCGTGTCTTAGGTTAAATAAGGTTAAATAAGGGAAAAAAAAAGTGTAAAAACAGAAGCAAAACCCTAAAAACATGCAAAAGCAGTTTAGAAAGCAAAAATATTAAAATCTAGCCGCGCTGAAATGAACGTTTTCGAGTCATTTTTGGGGCAGTGCTGAAATGAGCGCGCGGTGCTGAAATGAGCGCGCGGTGCTGAAATGAGCGCGCGGTGCTGAAATGAGCGCGCGGTGCTGAAATGAGCGCGCGGTGCTGAAATGAGCGCGCGGTGCTGAAATGAGCGCGCGGTGCTGAAATGAGCGCGCGGTGCTGAAATGAGCGCGCGGTGCTGAAATGAGCGCGCGGTGCTGAAATGAGCGCGCGGTGCTGAAATGAGCGCGCGGTGCTGAAATGAGCGCGCGGTGCTGAAATGAGCGCGCGGTGCTGAAATGAGCGCGCGGTGCTGAAATGAGCGCGCGGTGCTGAAATGAGCGCGCGGTGCTGAAATGAGCGCGCGGTGCTGAAATGAGCGCGCGGTGCTGAAATGAGCGCGCGGTGCTGAAATGAGCGCGCGGTGCTGAAATGAGCGCGCGGTGCTGAAATGAGCGCGCGGTGCTGAAATGAGCGCGCGGTGCTGAAATGAGCGCGCGGTGCTGAAATGAGCGCGCGGTGCTGAAATGAGCGCGCGGTGCTGAAATGAGCGCGCGGTGCTGAAATGAGCGCGCGGTGCTGAAATGAGCGCGCGGTGCTGAAATGAGCGCGCGGTGCTGAAATGAGCGCGCGGTGCTGAAATGAGCGCGCGGTGCTGAAATGAGCGCGCGGTGCTGAAATGAGCGCGCGGTGCTGAAATGAGCGCGCGGTGCTGAAATGAGCGCGCAGTGCTGAAATGAGCGCGCAGTGCTGAAATCGAAAATTAAAAGGAACGTCGCTCAATTTTTGGCGCTCATGTGACTACCTCTCAATTGTGCCTATTTTAAAACTACACTTTCAAGAATCGTAAACAATCACTACACTTTCAAGAATCGTAACTCTCTTACTTTGTGGCTTCTTCATCGTGCATCGCCATAGGGTGACACACTGTCCGGTGGTGTTGCGAAAGAAGCCGAGATCACATTCGCAAACGCCGCACGGATTGCAATACTCCCACGGCCCACATTTCACTCCTTTACACTGGTTCACGAACCATCCTTAACTCCATGAATTTTTTGATTTCAACTGTAAAGTTTCCTTTCCTGAAATTGCAAAAACTGATAAAATTTCACTTACTTCCTATCATTTATTATTCTTCACTCATTCTTTATTAATAAGTGCTGGATTTAACTGCTGTATTGCACTTAACCAGTCAAGTCAAGTCACCAGTCAAGGTCGTGATTTCTAGTTTCTGTTTTAGAAGCGTAAACCGACCAGTCGAAAGAGAGACGACGCTTATCAGAAGCAGAAATCTCTATAATTGAATGCGAAAGTTTAGCGGTGACCAAAAGACTCACGATTTGAATCATTCTCTTTGCAATGCCACAGAAAAAAAAAAACAACTTGAAGATTTTCAATGAGAGAAAGAAGCTATGATCTTTCTTTTATACTCGAAAACTTCTCGTATTGACACGAACGGGGAAACAGCGGTTAAAGTGTGCAAAGAGGGCTTAACACCTGGGCGGCTGACATGTTTTGCATAGATTTTATCATGTAGATCCCCGTGTTTTTGCTGTGTGAACATTTTATGGCGCTTTTTATGCATTCACAACATAAACACAGATTAGTTGCCATGAAAAATACGGTGGGGAAGGGTGGTCAAATGCTCAATGAGAGAAAAGTCTCTATGCTACAACTGTCAACTCTTCGTTGAGAGCAATCTGCAGCTTTTTTTTCAGTCTCACGCCATCAGCAGCTTATAAAACTGAGTGTGCAGTGTCGTGCGAGAATACCGATAGGGGCGTTGATTATTAGATATTTATTCTGAATCTAGCAAGAAATACAATAAAATAGGATTAATCGTTGGTTCAGTGTTTCATGGCAATACAAAAGGAATACGAAAGGAATACGGAGAGAATATGAAAAGTGCCAATGTAAAGTGGGCTCCGACCCTTTTATCCGTCCCTTTATCTTAAAAGCAATCTTTCAGAGGCGGGACAAGAAAACCAGACATTCAAATCAAAACATTAAATAAGATTTCACAGAAAAGAACCACTTTTCTGCACACTGAGAAAAGATTTTGGGCGCTATCATAAATCCTTTTACTTTCTATTTCTAATTTGTTTTGACCTCTTTAATGCCTATGTTTTAACGAGAGTGCACTGCTGGGCCGTCGACTGCTGGGCCGTGCTCCTAAGTACTGGTTCTAGTTCTCACGTGGCTCTCAACTTTGCAAAGGCTATATAGAAAAGGTGAAAGCTTGAATCGGTTAGATAATTGGCACCATTCCATGAGAGATACTTAGGAATTATCTCCAAAAAAATCAGAACGATTCACTCGATTTTGGTGAATCTAGGGCCTCTGAAGCGGCGGTGCTAGTGTCGCGCTTGTCCTTCGCTAGGCCACTTCGTAATCTTCATCAATCAAAAGAAACTCCTTCTTGCATTCATTCTTTTTGTTGAAGATTTCTCCTTCTCTGAAGATTCATTCTCCAATCTTTCCCTATAAACATAAATGGTGAGGGATAGGCGGTGGGAGCTGAGTCACAACCCCCCGCCCTTCATCGAAAGTGGGGCTTCTCCGATCTATTATGAACCCAGTCACTACACCGGGGAGTCCCGGTGAGCGGAGTACGGCAAAAGATATCGAAAACAGATAGATAAGAGCTAGAGACGGGATTACGGTAGAAAGAGAAAGGGGACACGTTTTAGAAAACGCATTAGTAGTCGGTATACTGTAGAAAGGCTGTTACCTGTTACAGTACTGTTACAACTGTTACAGTACTGTTACCTCTTACAGTACTGTTACAATACCTGCTTTCTACAGTACCCAAAGATATCAATTTCAGCAAACAAACCTCCCAGCTTTGACTGGGCTGTGATTTCGTGTTTTTGCGAGCATCTCTTCAATGGAATACAGGAGATTGAGTTCAGAAAAGGGAGATTGAGTGTGCCAAAGAAAAAAAAAGAAAAAAGAATATCAAGAATTGAGAGTTGCAAGTTTTAAAAGAACTTTTACAAGTTTTAAAAGAACTCTATACTTTTTAGAATTAGAACCAAATCTCAAAAGCAATTTCCAAATGAAATGCAATCGCCAAAGATTGCATTTCATCTGCATTTCATCTGCATTTCATCTGCACTTCATCTGCATTTCATCTGCATTTCATCTGCATTTCATCTGCATTTCATCTACACTTCATCTGCACTTCATCTGCATTTCATCTGCATTTCATCTGCATTTCATCTGCATTTCATCTGCATTTCATCTGCATTTCACCTGCATTTCATCTGCATTTCATCTGCACTTCATCTACACTTCATCTACACTTCATCTGCATTTCATCTACACTTCATCTGCACTTCATCTGCATTTCATCTGCATTTCATCTGCACTTCATCTGACACTTCATCTACACTTCATCTGCATTTCATCTACACTTCATCTGCATTTCATCTGCACGTCATCTACACTTCATCTGCACTTCATCTGCATTTCATCTGCACTTCATCTGCATTTCATCTACACTTCATCTACACTTCATCTACACTTCATCTGCACTTCATCTGCATTTCATCTGCATTTCATCTGCATTTCATCTGCATTTCAACTCGTCAAACTGCGGAAAACGAAGGAAAACAGAAAGCGCAAAAATTAGTTTGTGGATTCTATATAGTTGATTAATAATTGATTAATAGTTTATCCAATAAACTCGAAATTTTTATTTTCATTTTCATTCAGAAATCGTTTTCAGAAAGACAACTTTAACAAGCCCGTATCGAAAAAGTTTTTTTTGAACAGCTTAATCATTGAACAGCTTGATCATTGATTCAAAGCCTTTAAAACCATTGTTTAGACAATTGTAAGTACAATTTTTGATTATATTTGATGAAATTCCGTTATGAATAAGGCTTTTGACAAGTGCCAAAGCCGGCGAGTGGCCGCCAACCGTCCGACGAGCAAACAAGCGAGGGCTGACCGGCGACGAGATAACTGAAAAACCAAATTGTACGATATTTTGTTATTTTACAGTCAGATTAACAGTATATTTCATAATTATTGTATTTATTCTGATAGAAACCCAGGGGCCTTCTTTTGAATTTTTACTTTTTCAAACCGCCACAGTGCTCAAGTCTATTTTGCGTCTGACTACAATATCCAGCCGGTTCACGTCTTACTAACATATCTCGGTTACCTATTTTGGCGTTTGCTTACCGTACCCTGTATTTTGTCGCTATTACCCCAGTCTGGCGTCTGGCGTCTGGCGTCTGGCGTTTTTGGCGTCTGGCTAACGTATCCCAGTCTACAGGATGTTCGAAAATTACCCGCACTTGGTTTTTTAAGTAAAACTCAGCACTCAGATGTGCAATCAGCTCACGCTTTGCTTTAATAGAAAATTTAAATATTTTTCTACCCTGGATTCTTAGGTTTTGTGGCGAATAGCCACTAAAAAGTTACCTACCGTATTTCCTCTAATAAACGCCCCCCTGACCAACTTTGGACGCTTCGTTCTCAGCCCCATTTTGAGATATCTTTATGTTTAATATATCAAAAGATAGCCCTTAATGTCTTCTATCTTTTGATATATTAAACATAAAAATATCTCCAAATGGGGCTGAGAACGAAGCGTCCAAAGTTGGTCAGGGGAGGGGGGCGCTTATTAGAGGAAATACGGTAACTCTGGCAGCCTAAAAATTGGAGAAATATTGAAGAAATTCTATTTCGCGCCCCAAATCATTTATTGTTTTGTAGCTTGTTAGCTGAGTAGTTTGTTAGCTGAGTATCTTGGGTTAAAGCCTATATAAGGCAACTGTTGTTCATTTGGTTCGGTTATCTTTCATTTTCTTTCTGCTTTCCTCTCATTTGTGTGAAAGTTGTGTCCTAATTAGGACGAAATTGTTTCTGTTTTTTATCGTCGCTTTTAATTCAAATGTCGATCTTGTGTGAGAATTGCTCAAGAATTGCTCAAGTGAGAGCCCAAAGATTCCGAGTCAGTCGGCTATAGAATAAAGTGGCTATTGAAGTCAGTCGGCTATTGAATAAAGTACCAAGCACGCGAACAATATTTCTTTACAGGTTTAACGAAAAAAAGTTTTTCTGCCTTTTTTTATAGAACCTCAAAGTTGGCAGTCAGGAGTTGCTTGGCGCAGCACTTGCCTTTGGAGGATTTAAAAGCACATTTATTCGACACGAATAATGAATCGAATGACTAGAATAGTTTAATTTATCTCTAATTGTCTATAATATCTCTAATTGTCTATAATTCACCAAATTTTCAGTGAAACAGTTAACGACTCCGCGACTGTACACTCAAAATACCATCGTCGCGAATACAATCGTGTGTTAAAGTAATACTCGTTGCTATATTAAGCTTACAGTAAGTCTGCTACATCTCATTATGAAAATTGAATCAACAGTATCAAATTTCTTTACCCGATATCACAATACAGCAACGCCGTTGTGCCCTCCTCGTATTCGGCCGATCGACTTGATTGGATATAAGTAACCTAATCAAATTTGATTACAAGAATAAAATAATATTAAGTTGGCAAGAAAGTCTTTGCACAAATTTAAACTAAAATTTTTGAAAACTAATCTAATTCAAGAACACTTTGTTCTATTATTTAGAAATCGACTCCGAGAAATTACTCGTAAAAGATGAGTGCAGCTTTCCCTTAAAATTAGAAAATAAAACCTAAAATTGGACCCATTACCTATTCATTAACCCATTAAAAAATTGTCTAAAGGCTGGTCACTCAAAAAGTGACCAAGTACCAGTCACTGACCAAGGAAACTCTAGTGCCCAAGGCTCTAATGCTCCAAGCTCTAGTGCCCAAGGCTCTAATGCTCCAAGCTCTAGTGCCCAAGGCTCTAGTACTCCATGCTCTAGTGCCCAAGGCTCTAATGCTCCAAGCTCTAGTGCCCAAGGCTCTAATGCTCCAAGCTCTAGTGCCCAAGGCTCTAATGCTCCAAGCTCTAGTGCCCAAGGCTCTAATGCTCCAAGCTCTAGTGCCCAAGGCTCTAGTACTCCAAGCTCTAGTGCCCAAGGCTCTAATGCTCCAAGCTCTAGTGCCCAAGGCTCTAATGCTCCAAGCTCTAGTGCCCAAGGCTCTAATGCTCCAAGCTCTAGTGCCCAAGGCTCTAGTACTCCATGCTCTAGTGCCCAAGGCTCTAATGCTCCAAGCTCTAGTGCCCAAGGCTCTAATGCTCCAAGCTCTAGTGCCCAAGGCTTTAATGCTCCAAGCTCTAGTGCCCAAGGCTCTAATGCTCCAAGCTCTAGTGCCCAAGGCTCTAATGCTCCAAGCTCTAGTGCCCAAGGCTCTAGTACTCCATGCTCTAGTGCCCAAGGCTCTAGTGCTCCAAGCTCTAGTGCTCCACGCTCTAGTGCCCAAGGCTCCAATGCTCCAAGCTCTAGTACTTCATGCTCTAGTGCCCAAGGCTCTAATGCTCCAAGCTCTAGTGCCCAAGGCTCTAATGCTCCACGCTCTGGTGTTGTCTCTTTTCCATCGACATTGATCTGACCATTGAATCCCTATTTTAAGTACTTGATTTTAGGTTTTGAATGGGACCCATTGCCTATTCATTAACCCATTAAAAAAATGTCGAAAGGCTGGTCACCAAATCACTTTAGCTGATGAAATCTCTTATTTTTTACCTAAGCCCCACTCTAATTTTTTATCAAAAACTTTTTGAAATATAGACAAGTTTATCGAAAAAAATTTGGAAAGAATTCATGAATTGGCTTTTGAGAAATCATCTTGCAAACTTTTCCTACAAACTTTTTTGCCAACCTAATATTTATCTATTAGCGTTTACTTTTGAATGCGGCGGTGCTTTGATGGGTGAGCATTTCTCGACAGATTTCACCGTCAAATCCGATGTGCACCCGCCGAGCACCGGCCGGAATGAGCCGAAAGAGCAACGGGAAAATGTAGGGCCACTGGAATTTAGATAATTATATAACTATAGATAAATGTTATCTAGATATCTAAATATGGAAATTTTGGCTATTTCCCTGAATCATGGACTTTTGGAAGTTTCGTGGTCTTTTGAAAGTTTAGAGGTCCTTTAGAAGTTTCGTGGACTTTTAAAAGTTTCGTGGTCCTTTAGAAGTTTCGTGGTCTTTTAAAAGTTACGTGGTCTTTTAAAAGTTACGTGGTCTTTTAAAAGTTTCGTGGTCCTTTAGAAGTTACGTGGAGTTTTAAAAGTTTCGTGGTCCTTTAGAAGTTTCGTGGTCCTTTAGAAGTTACGTGGACTTTTAAAAGTTACGTGGTCCTTTAGAAGTTTCGTGGTCTTTTAAAAGTTTAGAGGTCCTTTAGAAGTTTCGTGGTCTTTTAAAAGTTACGTGGTCCTTTAGAAGTTTCGTGGTCTTTTGAAAGTTTAGAGGTCCTTTAGAAGTTTCGTGGACTTTTAAAAGTTTCGTGGTCCTTTAGAAGTTTCGTGGTCTTTTAAAAGTTACGTGGTCCTTTAGAAGTTTCGTGGTCTTTTAAAAGTTACGTGGTCCTTTAAAAGTTACGTGGTCCTTTAGAAGTTTCGTGGTCTTTTAAAAGTTTCGTGGTCCTTTAGAAGTTACGTGGACTTTTAAAAGTTTCGTGGTCCTTTAGAAGTTTCGTGGTCTTTTAAAAGTTTCGTGGTCTTTTGAAAGTTTAGAGGTCCTTTAGAAGTTTCGTGGACTTTTAAAAGTTTCGTGGTCCTTTAGAAGTTTCGTGGTCTTTTAAAAGTTACGTGGTCTTTTAAAAGTTACGTGGTCTTTTAAAAGTTTCGTGGTCCTTTAGAAGTTACGTGGACTTTTAAAAGTTTCGTGGTCCTTTAGAAGTTTCGTGGTCTTTTAAAAGTTTCGTGGTCTTTCAAAAGTTTCGTGGACTTTTAAAAGTTTCGTGGTCTTTTGCAATTTTATTACCAAAAAGTCTTTTAAAATTGTTTAAACGTATTTTATGAAGTTCCACATGCAAATTTAATCAGAATTTAAAGAACAATCGTAAGAAAAACAATTTTGGCATCCCAGCAAAACGCAAGGCTTGGCACGCTGGACACATAAATCTTTGTGAAGCTGGCTTTCACATACAACAGACGTCCTTGCCAACTTGATGATATCCTGTTGAGAATACGAGGAATTCTGTGCGATGTCGCCCAACGTCAGCCCCCGGAATTATATAGCTGGCCGTCTCAGCTCAACAAAGCACAAATCATCACAGGCTTCTGCCTCCGTCAAGGCCAGCATCTCTGCCATTTCAGTCAGACTCTCAGCGTCGTCTTCTTCTTCGTTATTAATCGCCATTTGCGTGGAACAATCAAAGATCGACTTTCAACTTATTTATTTGAATATATGTTTATTTATTTGAATCTATGAGAGTAACAGAGAATGATGGCCTTGACGGACGCAGAAGCCTGTGATGATTTGTGCTTTGTTGAGTTGAGACGGTCAGATAGCCGAAGAGTCAACTCTTTCAACATTTGTTGGTTCGCATGGAGGCTTCTCTTTCTTTCTACTTATCCTCTTCTCTAGGATTGTTCTTTAAATTCTGATCAAATAGTTTATTTGATCAGAATGGTTCATTTGGAACTTAATAAAATACTTTTCAACAATTTCAAAAGACGGCAAAACGAACTGTTTTTAACAAAAGACCACAAAACTTTAAAACTTTAAAACTTTTAAAAGCCCACGATTGAGGGAAAGAGCCGATTCTTTTAACAAGCCTTCATTCGAAGCTGTTCCATTAAATCGTGTACTCAAAATCATTTGCAGAATGCTTACTTTAGATTTTTCTTAAGTTTAGATATAAATTCTAGATTTCATTTTACTTTTACTATGGATATGGATATGGATATTACTATGGATCCAAAAATTAGTCAACTTGTCCAACTCACTTGGCTAAATATCCCATATTGCATCGAAGGGCGGCGATCGTTCCCTCAGGATACTCACCACCAATGCTTGGTTTAGAAAAAGTCACCTAAAAAAGAGAATACGGTAGAACTTAGGCTTTAGGATGATTCTTGAAGTAAAGTGACAATTAGGCTCTACAATTATTTTATCTGGCTTTGACAAACTGTAGTGGGAAACTCTCGGGCAACTAGATCAACTAGATCAACTAGATCAACTAGATCAGTCTAGATCAACTAGATCAACTAGATCAGTCTAGATCAGTCTAGATCAGTCTAGATCAGTCTAGATCAGTCTAGATCAGTCTAGATCAGTCTAGATCAGTCTAGATCAGTCTAGATCAGTCTAGATCAGTCTAGATCAGTCTAGATCAGTCTAGATCAGTCTAGATCAACCAGATCAACTAGATCAGTCTAGAATATTGACATGTTTTAGATTTTAGATTTCAGACATGTTTTAGAAAACGGATTATTTGAAAAGGTTACACTCCGGTTAAACCTAAAACACACTTCTCCAAATCCGGGCGAATACGGCGGAGAACAAGACTCGGTGATTTTTGTCGTTGATTCTTCAAGCTCTTCTCCAGATCGATCAATTTCCCCGACATCTGATTGAATTCGATTCGAAATCGCGTTAATCGGCGAGATGCAATCGCCAAGTTTGGGTGTCCAATCACCGTTTATACATAGTGTTGATGGCTCACCTAATTGAATTAGTAATAAAGAAGTGAAAGAATTGGCAAGGAAATTGGAGGAAATTGAAAATTCCGGAGAGGAAATTGAACCTTTTTCTTTCCGAGACTCTAACCTCGAACCTTTTTCTTTCCGAGACTCTAACCTCGAACCTTTTCCTTCCCGGGCAATTGCTCTAATCATTGAGCCATCACCTTAACTTTCTAAGAGAAAGAGGGAAAGGCAAGGAGGAAGAAGAAAGGAAGAACAAGACTTTGATCGATTTAGTGCAAAAGTTGGTTCAGTTGGCTAGTTGGTTCAGTGATTAGAGCAATAGAACAAAGCTTTGAATTTTGCCTTGTAAAGTTTTGTCCAAGTTTCCTTTACTTTACTATCAATCAATTAGTTTTATCAATCTTTACTTTACGTTTACTATCAATACTAATTCTCAATTTGGGCCTAATTCTGTAAGCAACCTTTCTGGTCAACTGAATTCTTCATTTGCAACAGAAGCGGCAAGAAAAGTGAAGAATTGAGTGCCGAGAAAGGGTGCGCTAACAGATGCGCTTAATGCGCTTACAGATGCGCTTACAGATGCGCTTACAGATGCGCTTAGTGCGCTTACAGATGCGCTTAGTGCGCTTACAGATGCGCTTAATGCGCTTACAGATGCGCTTACAGATGCGCTTAATGCGCTTACAGATGCGCTTACAGATGCGCTTAATGCGCTTACAGATGCGCTTACAGATGCGCTTAGTGCGCTAACAGATGCGCTTACAGATGCGCTTAGTGCGCTTAGTGCGCTAACAGATGCGCTTACAGATGCGCTTAGTGCGCTTAGTGCGCTAACAGATGCGCTTACAGATGCGCTTAGTGCGCTTAGTGCGCTAACAGATGCGCTTACAGATGCGCTTAGTGCGCTTAGTGCGCTAACAGATGCGCTTACAGATGCGCTTACAGATGCGCTTAGTGCGCTTACAGGTGCGCTTAGTGCGCTTACAGATGCGCTTAGTGCGCTTACAGATGCGCTTAATGCGCTTACAGATGCGCTTACAGATGCGCTTACAGATGCGCTTACAGATTTGAGCTCGCTTAGGTATCTAAGGACCAAAACGATCGTACTACCTAGATATTTACGTTTGATATCTAATTCTTAATCTAATTTCACCGACCATCAAGCAATGTCCCCAAATGGCAACTGATCGTCGCCACCGTTTTCTCGTCATAAGGTCCAAATCCATAAATACTGTAGGTTATCTAGAATGTTATCTCTGAATTTTAGATTCAACTTCAAAACTCACTGATGAATGAGTTTTCAGGGGAAGCGCTGAACATTTCCCGTCAACGCTTTTCTCATTTATCGATCTTTCGGCGGGACTTCGAAAGATTTCCGGCATTCTTGGATCACATGGAGACATTGTTGAGGGAATCCATTTACCCGAGATACACGTTGATACAACATTGCCTGAATATTTGAGAAACACTTGGAAACCTTTTCAAACTTTAATATCTAGGGCTACAACAGCCACAACAGCTGTAACTTTTACACTTTCACGGTTTATTTTTCTTTTCTATTAGTCTACTCTTTCTATTGTCCAGAAAGTTTTTTCGTTACTTTTTTTACTTCTAAACCAAAAATCGTAAACCAAAAAACGCACCAATTGAACCAATTGAACTATTGGTTTATTTCATTAGAAAAGTCAATTATTTTTCTTCAAAATAACATTAAAACGGGTTTAAAATGTCTTATGTTTGGATTTTTTTGGGAGCATGAAGTCGGGTAGTCAAAAAAGGGCGACCGCTCGATTGGCGGCGGCCAAAAAGGCAACGGTTTAGACATTTTAGCTAAGGAAACCTATCTTGGTGTCAATAGATAAAAGATAGAGCATAGAGAGTTTGGTGTCCAGCCAAATTTTTAGAGAAATTCATTCAGCCAATCTCTTCATTCAGCCAATCTCATTCAGCCAATCTCTTCATTCAGCCAAAAGCCAATTATTTTTCTGCAAAATAACATTAAAACGGATTTTAAATGTCTTGATTTGGATTTGGATGTCTGGATTTTTTTGGGAGCATGAAGATGAAGCCGCTAAGCTTGCCCTTTTAAGAAACGCAATGTCGGATCTTGATCTGGTTGAAAAATGGGGTCCGGCAAATGGAAACTAGCTTTAGAATCCACGATAAGAGTTGTACACGCTCAATTGGTTGCACGAACGAATGTCTTTGATGAAAGGAAAATGACGAATGACATCAAATCCAAACTGATCGTAAATGCTTCTTGATTCTGCTCCAACCAATTCAGCTTCTTGATGCTTCACCAATTCAGCTTCACCAATTCAGCTTCACCAATTCAGCTTCACCAATTCAGCTTCACCAATTCAGCTTCACCAATTCAGCTTCACCAATTCAGCTTCACCAATTCAGCTTCACCAATTCAGCTTCACCAATTCAGCTTCACCAATTCAGCTTCACCAATTCAGCTTCTTGATGTCGATTGCTTCAATTTCGTGTGAACCAAACTCAATCTTGTAGTCGTGCTCCCAAAAAATTGGGTAGTCAAAAAAGGGCGACCGCTCGATTGACGACGGCCAAAAAGGCAACGGTTTAGACACTTTCTGCTAAGAAAACCTATCTTCGTGTCAATAGATAAAAGATAGAGCATGAAGAGTTTGGTATCCAGCCAAATTTTTAGAGAAATTCATTCAGCCAATCTCTTCATTCAGCCAATCTAGGGTTTTTATAGATTCACTTTCAAATTTGCTTGAAAGTGAACCGAAATTGACTTAAAAAGATAGGAAATCGAACAAAAAACACTTTTTATTTTGAGTGAACCATAGGTTAATCCGTGAATTTGTCTTTCAGCAAAAGTATGGTATGAAAAGACTTTCTGGAGAGCCTAATATTTATCTAATTTCCAATTCGAAAGTCACCTTGTGCCTCAAAACCGTGACTGCACTTGAGGCTGGCCCGGGTGCCCGAGATGAAACCGCCAAAAGCCTCTTTCTAAATAATTTTTAATTTTGTCTGGTACAACTAAATGATATCTAAATGTTGTCTAGTGGACATGGTTATCGGATCGGGTCGGATCGAATCAGGACCGATCTGGTTCGATAGGTCCAACCGCTCGGGCTAGACCGATCCGATCCGTTCGACGGATCAGGTTACCCCGATCTGACCTGATCCGATCCGTCCGATGGATAAGGCTAACCCAATCCGATCTGATCTGATCCGTCCGACAGATCAGGCTAGCCCGGTCCGATCTGATCCGATCCGTCCGACAGATCAGGCTAGCCCGATCCGTCCAACCGATCAGGCTAGCCCGGTCCGATCTGATCCAATTCTAATTTTTGATTCTCTACAACATTTCCATTGACACCAAAATGGGTTTCTTTTGAAGAAAGTGCTCAAACTGGGACATCTCCAGTCCTCCATTTCTGAGTCTCACACTTGTCTCACAAACACAAACCAAAATCCTACTACGAAAGAGGAATCCGCAAATTGCCTGTAAAATGGACAGAAGTCGTCAATAATAATGGAAATTATTTCGAATGAATTGATGGTTTTATGTTGAATAAATAAATTTTAGTTCAAACTCCCGCAGTTTTCGATTCACCAACCCATTTTGGTGTCAATAAAGTATTTTAACAGAAGATATGCCACTGAAATCAAGTTTTTCAGGTGTAAAAAACTTCAAAGATTATTTCTAAAATTTACAAAAACTTTCATGTCTCTTCCTTGAAGAATTACAGAGGTAAAGACAAAAAAAAAGTTGAGAGAAATGCAGGAAATTTTAAGTTACAACTTCTGTTACATTCCAGTCTTTATATAAATATAAAATCCATATAAAATCCATATAAAATCCAATCTAAAAGTCCTATAATTTTGTCCGGCACTGTATTTTTGTTTTAGTTTTCCTATGGTTATTATATTTTTACCTGCGAGTAGCCGATTTCCCCATTCAGCACCGGTGGCACCGGGAATGAGCACAATTTTTCGACGATTTTCTCGACTAAACTTTTAGAAATGATACCGTAATCTATATAAATATCTAGATAATTCTATATATAAATATCTGGATAAAAGATAGCTTAAACAAACCATTTCTCGGTATACATACGCCCATCCGCTCGGGTACCCAATGTCCATTGAGACACGTCGCTAAACGATCCCCCGCCGGCGTCCACCCCAATTCGCACTCCAATTCGGCTACGGTACCCTGGAATTGATATCTAAATCTTAAGCTTTAACTAGCGTAAACCTTAGACTGATATGCATAGAGGAGTGCTGCGTAGCGTCCTGGTTTGCAGGTTTGCTTTAATCAGTTGCAGGTTGGCTTTAATCAGTTGCAGGTTGGCTTTAATCAGTTGCAGGTTTGCTTTAATCAGTTGCAGGTTGGCTTTAATCAGTTGCAGGTTGGCTTTAATCAGTTGCAGGTTTGCGTTAATCAGTTGCAGGTTGGCTTTAATCAGTTGCAGGTTTGCGTTAATCAGTTGAAGTTTGCGTTAATCAGTTGCAGGTTGGCTTTAATCAGTTGCAGGTTGGCTTTAATCAGTTGAAGTTTGCGTTAATCAGTTGCAGGTTGGCTTTAATCAGTTGCAGGTTGGCTTTAATCATTTGCAGTTTGCGTTAATCAGTTGCAGGTTGGCTTTAATCAGTTGCAGGTTTGCGTTAATCAGTTGCAGGTTTGCGTTAATCAGTTGCAGGTTTGCTTTAATCAGTTTTAATCAGTACGCTACGCAACACTCCTCTATACATATTAGTCTAAGGTTTACGGTAGTTTAAAGCTTAAGAAAAACTGATTAAAGCAAACCGCAACTGATTAAAGCAAATGTTTGTCGATTACGTAAGTCTCTAAGTCCCAGTCCTCTAAGCATGTAATTTTCTTAGGAGATCTACAGTATTGTAATACTTACATTTGAATAAAAACCCGTGGAATTTGTATAGTATTTGATCTTCGACGACGGAGGACTGGCCATTGAGAGACATGATGAGACTGGAGCTCGTCGTTGAGGGGATTCAGCTGAAATTTGAATCCTAAACAATGAAAAGATCGTAAACTTCTCAAATTTTCACTTCAACAGTCGAAAATTTATTGTTTTTTCAAATCTAATTCACAAAAACCCGTGCCTATGTTCTAGCTTTCTTTCTTTCAAAAGCTTTAAAAGCTATCGTAATCTTATCTCTAGTTTTGGCCAATTCAAGAGCTACTTTTTGAGGATATCTTGCAAAGAGATAGAATTTTTTAAGCTCTGACCTAAAAACCCTTGAAAAGGTAGTCGTTAAAGTGGAAAAATCTCGCTTTTTCATTGCAAAACTATTGAGAATCAGACTGATAAATGGATAGCTTTAATGTAGCCTCTTTTTTAGCTGATAGCACACAACATTATCATTCCCTAATCGTCTAAAATTATCAAAATCTCAAGAATCGTTATCGAAATGTAGATAACGATGAGATCTCATGGAAATTAAAAAAATTTGGGGTTCTAGAGAGCTTTAACCTAACTAGGAAAAGGCACGAACTCAAGGTGAGCTTCTGGACTTAAAGAGCTTCTGGACTTAAAGAGCTTCTGGACTTAAAGAGCTTCTGGACGTAAAGTACACTTTATAGAATCGAGTATGAGGAATTCGAATCTGAAATCAAAAACTGTCAAATGATTTTCCGGGCGAGTAGACCGATAAATGAACGGCTTTACTGTAGCCTGCTTTACTACACGAAAACATTATCGTTATCTTCACTAAATCCTCTAAAATTATCAAAATCTTTCAATCAAAAATTTGGCGTCAAAACGAATGCTTTAAAAAGGCTTCTTCCTAGCTGAGAAAAAGTGGCTTGTTGGCCTGGTGGATAACGTATTGGGTTTCCGCTCACAGGATCGATGCAGCTTTTTGATTTCGATTCCTGACGCAGCTTTTTGTTGCTATGTTTTTCTCGATGTTTTTGTTTTTCTTTTCGAGCAACTTCTGGAATTTTGCAAGGTTCCATTACGGTTCCAATACGGCTAAAAGTGGCTTGGTGGCCTGGTGGATAACGTATTGGGTTACCGCTCACAGGATCAGGGTTCGATTCCTGGTGCAGCTTCTTGTTGCTATGTTTTTGTCGATATGTTTTTGTTTTTCTTTTGGAGCAACTTCTGGAATTTTGCAAGGTTCCATTACGGTTCCAATACGGTTCCAATACGGCTTCTATTTTGATCCAATACGGTTCCAATACGGTTCCAATAAGGCTTCTATTTTGATCCAATACGGTTCCAATAAGGCTTCTATTTTGATCCAATACGGTTCCAATACGGTTCCAATACGGCTCCTATTTTGATCCAATACGGTTCCAATACGGCTTCTATTTTGATCCAATACGGTTCCAATACGGTTCCAATAAGGCTTCTATTTTGATCCAATACGGTTCCAATACGGTTCCAATAAGGCTTCTATTTTGATCCAATACGGTTCCAATACGGCTTCTATTTTGATCCAATACGGTTCCAATACGGTTCCAATAAGGCTTCTATTTTGATCCAATACGGTTCCAATACGGCTTCTATTTTGATCCAATACGGTTCCAATACGGTTCCAATAAGGCTTCTATTTTGATCCAATACGGTTCCAATACGGCTTCTATTTTGATCCAATACGGTTCCAATACGGTTCCAATAAGGCTTCTATTTTGATCCAATACGGTTCCAATACGGTTCCAATAAGGCTTCTATTTTGATCCAATACGGTTCCAATACGGCTTCTATTTTGATCCAATACGGTTCCAATACGGTTCCAATAAGGCTTCTATTTTGATCCAATACGGTTCCAATACGGCTTCTATTTTGATCCAATACGGTTCCAATACGGTTCCAATAAGGCTTCTATTTTGATCCAATACGGTTCCAATACGGTTCCAATAAGGCTTCTATTTTGATCCAATACGGTTCCAATACGGCTTCTATTTTGATCCAATACGGTTCCAATACGGTTCCAATAAGGCTTCTATTTTGATCCAATACGATTCCAATACGGCTCCTATTTTGATCCAATACGGTTCCAAATTGCATAATGGCTAATTGCATAATGGCTGCTTGCAAAGTAGGAATTGGTTATCCAAGTTCAAATTGCTTTTTCAAATTATCTCGTTTTTCAATAGATATTTGTTAAAGTATCATTAAAAACTTCTTTTTCCTAATGTATTATCTACAAGGCCATCAACCCACTTTTCTCCGCTAGAAAGGAGCCTTTTAAAGCATCCGTTTTGACGATGCTTTTAAAGCAAATCTTTTATTAAAATTTCCCCCCCTGGAAAGTCATTTGATGGTTTTTGATTTCCGATTCGGATTCCCCATATCCGATTTTTTTAAAGTGCAATAGACAGGGAAAATATTGCGTTGAGTTCGTGCCTTTCGTACGAACATTAGTAGAACATTAAAGAATGCAGTGCTGTCCTTTAGTAAGAACATTACAGAATACAGTGTTCACTAACCGATTTTCCACAAATCCCCTCCATTATGTTTGTTTAAATCTCTGGGATTTGAAAAAAACGTGTCAAGTCATATCCATCAACCACATATTTTTAATTAACTAAAGCATTAACTAAAGCTTAACAAAAATGATCGAAAAGTGACAAAAGTGAAAAAAAAAAGATTGATATTTCATCAATATTGATAAATGTTTATCAAGAACAAGAAAAGATCAAGAAAAAACAAGCAGCGACTAGGAAAAGTGACTAGAACAAGTAGACAAAGCAAAGCAAAACAAAGCAAAACAAAGCAAAACAACCATCAGTAATAATCTTATACACAAATGCCGAGTGGTGGAGTGAAAATGCCACCTTGACACGTTGTGGTGCTGGATCCAAGGACACGAGTCGATGATGAGCATTGGAGATTGATCGTGGATCCGGATGAGAATGGAGGAGACGAAGATGAGGAGGGATAGCTCAGATTTCCATTGAAAGGAGCGAGTGGAGCGAAGGGACATTGACCTGCAAATGAGCCTAGAAGTGTGCTTTGTGTAAACACACACCTTCTGGTGCGCTAAGCCCTTCATTTCTTGTGGCAAATCCACCAGAAAGGGCATGTTTCTATGCACAAAGTACTTACGAGCCTTTGGCGTTTACTTTGTGTTGGCGCTTTGCAAAAACAAACCCTCTGGCGCACCTAATTCTGCATTTTCTTTTCTATGACACCTTGGTTTCACGAGAAAACTGATGAATCGAGTACGCCAGGAAGAGGCGTTTACAGATCTGAGCGCAAAGCAAATCAAGTACTTGACTTTTAGATGAGCAATGAATTGAGTTTAGTGTTCTACCGTATCCTGGGGTATTCCGATCCTTTCCCTGAAGATCTGGAAAGAGTGAAAGAGTTATTTAGTATGGTAGGAGTAGAACAATCAATCTAATAGTAATTAAGGTAGCATCTTTTATGTATTACGGTAGTTTTTTAAGAAGCACATAGTCTATTCTCATTGTCAACTTTGTACCTGGGTTACCGTAGATTTTAAAAAGTAGCCAGATTACAGTAGATAGATTACAGTAGATAGACTACGGTAGATAGACTACGGTAGATAGGCTACGGTAGATAGGCTACGGTAGATAGACTACAGTAGCTTCTGAAAAGGTAGCTAGATTACAGTAGATTCAAAAGGTAGCTAGATTACAATAGATTCAAAAGGTAGCTGAATTACGGTAGATTCAAAAGGTAGTTAGATTACAGTAGATTCAAAAGGAGCTAGATTACAGTAGATTCAAAAGGTAGCTGGATTACAGTAGACTCAAAAGGAGCTAGATTACAGTAGATTCAAAATGTAGCTAGATTACAGTAGATCCAAAATGTAGCTAGATTACAGTAGATTCAAAAGGTAGCTAGATTACAGTAGATTCAAAAGGTAGCTAGATTACCGTAGATTCAAAAAAATAGCCAGGATACGGTAGCTTTCCCATCTTCCAAAAATAGCCCCTTTTAAGAAGAGCAAAGAAGTCTGATCTTAAACTTCAGTAGCTTCATGCTGGATTTGACGCAATGAATGATTTCGATGAATGTACTGTCCCTGATAGACAGAGAGCACTTTCTAAAAGGTATCTATTTAGAAAACTGTAATCAGAGTTTTATAATCACTAACCTGTGTCGAAGCATTGTACAGTAAACAAAAAAACCCAAAAAAACCCAAAACAAAAAATAAAAAGCAAAAGAAAACCGAAAAAAAATAAATTAAAGGACAGTCTCACGGGTTAGAGAAAACAATTTTTAAGAGATTTTCAAGAGAAAACAATTTTCTTTCTTCATGTGTACTTTTTCTTTCTTTCATTTCTTTGTCATTTCTTTCGCTATTCATAAAATCACTAACCAACTCCAGTGCCACTCGTCGAACAGGTGCCCAAGTAACTCCATTGGCCGTTCGTGCAAGTCGTTATCGCTGAGCCGCTCACCGATTGTCCCATCGGACAAGTGATCGTCACAGAGGCACCTATTTTGGTGTACTTTTTGGCTTATTTGTTAAAACAATCCTTCTGGCGCACTGTGAGTTCTTTATTTACAAGAATTCAGTGCACTAGAAGGGGTGTGTTTACAGAAAAAGGCACAAAGTTCGAAGTAATAGAAAGATTTTCAAATTCTCCATTTGGCACACTGAAATCCCGATGTTTAATGTTTGAAGCTGGTAGAGTATCAAGATTTTGAAGCTCTGTTACGCTTAGCTCTATTGAAGCTCTATTGAAGCTCTATTGAAGCTCTATTGAAGCTCTAGTGAAGCTTTACTCAAGCTCCACTCAAGCTCTACTGAAGCTACGCTCTATTGAAGCTCTAGTGAAGCTCTAGTGAAGCTCTAGTGAAGCTTTACTCAAGCTCCACTCAAGCTCTACTGAAGCTACGCTCTATTGAAGCTCTATTGAAGCTCTATTGAAGCTCTATTGAAGCTCTATTGAAGCTCTATTGAAGCTCTATTGAAGCTCTATTGAAGCTCTATTGAAGCTCTATTGAAGCTCTAGTGAAGCTTTACTCAAGCTCCACTCAAGCTCTACTGAAGCTAAGCTCTATTGAAGCTCTAGTGAAGCTCTACTGAAGCTCTACTGAAGCTCTAGTGAAGCTCTACTCTAGATATTCCGTTACTTGAAAATTTTATGGTTACAGCGGCCGAGCTGTCACCTAATTATACCAACTCTTACCCAAATTACAATAATAATCGTACTGTAGTTAGTAAGGTGTCGTACTGTAGTTAGTATTGTAAAAACTGTGGCAAAAACTAGCTGTGGAAAGCTTTGGAGCTAGAACTTTTGACGAAGTTTTCAAATTTGCAAGAAAAATTTTGCAAATTTCCATTCTCCTACCCTTAGATCTCTAGTAATACATTTAAAAATCGAATAAAATATCGAAAAACCATTATAAAACGGTCCAGCGGAGCTCCCAGTCGAGTAGATCGGATTGGCGCCCATCGGGATCAACGGTGCAAAAGGACACGTGGTACCTGAATAAAAAGAGATTTAAATAAGATATATTAGATTGAGAACTTGAAAGTTGGTACACTTATTCATTGAGCTTTTTAGAACTCTTTTTTAGAACTTCCTTGTCTTTCTTCCTTTCTTTCTCTTCCTTTCTTTCTTCCTTGTCTTTCTCTTCCTTGTCTTTCCTAATTCTTCTTGGGCAAGGCGCCGATAGCTCAATGGCAGAGACGTATCCAGAATTTTTCGATCTGCCGGCTTTCGGTCTTTCGGTCTACCGGCTCAAGCTCTTCGAGCCCCAATCAATTTCCGGCTAAGAAATTGTATTTTTTTAAGATTTCAGGCTACAAAACTGTCTAAACGGTTTTTTGAAAACATTCAAGGAGCTCGAGATTTTTGCATTTGAAGTTCACCATTTTCACTTTTCTTGTTTTTTCAATTTTTGATCGCGAAAATCTCGAGCCCTTTGAATTTTTTCATAAAAACTTTTAGCCAGTTTTGTAGCCGGAACTTTTTAATACATATATTTTCAGATTTTGATCGGAAATTGATTGGGGATCGCCTCGAGGAGCTCTGGCCGTTAGACTGAAAGTCGGGAAATCGTGGCAACACCTTTGCTCAGTGGTAGAGCATTTGGAAAAGGAAAATGTCGGTAAGGAAAATGTCAAGGGTTCAATTCCGCTTGTTTTCAAATCACAAATTCATTACTTTACTTTATTATCTAATTAAATCTCACCACTACCACCGGGGTTACTCGTAGACGAGCAAAAGCCGAGCTGCGGACTCCATTGGCCATTTGTACAAGTGGTGAATTGAGAGCCTAAAGAGGATTTGGACTAAAAACTTCGATTTGGACTAAAATATGGCTGAATTTGAGAAGATTACTGTAATTTGCTTATTTATTTATCTAACTAATTTATAGTATTTTCATTTAGAAGTATTTAGAACTCGTCCTTTGAAACCAGTCCTTTTTAAGAGATCGTAGCTTTAGAATACTGCTTTAGAATAGTTATAAAAAGTTACTAGTATTATTTGGATTACTGTATTCTATAAGTCTATCATTATCGACCGTTTACAGCTGATAAACCCACCTTGCACGAAACCGGAGAAACATGTGATATTAGCGGTGGTGCCCGAGTTGAACGGGCCGAATGGACCGTTCGAATAGTTTACGGTACCTGGATTAGAGAAATGGAAAGTGTTCCACAAACTAAGCTCTAGATAAGCTACATATACAGCTATCAAGTTACATTGTGCAACTTGTCGCCTGTCGTACTTAGTACTATGCTATACCCCGGTACTCTACAGCACTGTGCTATCCCCTAGTACTCTACAGCACTGTGCTAGACCCTAGTACTCTACAGTACTGTGCTATCCCCTAGTACTCTACAGTACTGTGCTAAACCCTAGTACTTCACAGTACTGTGCTATCCCCTAGTACTCTACAGTACTGTGCTATACCCTAGTACTCTACAGTACTGTGCTATCCCCTAGTACTCTACAGTACTGTGCTATACCCTAGTACTTCACAGTACTGTGCTATCCCCTAGTACTCTACAGTACTGTGCTATACCCTAGTACTCTACAGTACTGTGCTATCCCCTAGTACTCTACAGTACTGTGCTATACCCTAGTACTCTACAGTACTGTGCTATCCCCTAGTACTCTACAGCACTGTGCTAGACCCTAGTACTCTACAGTACTGTCCTATACCCTAGTACTCTACAGCACTGTGCTATACCCCGGTACTCTACAGCACTGTGCTATCCCCTAGTACTCTACAGTACTGTGCTAAACCCTAGTACTTCACAGTACTGTGCTATCCCCTAGTACTTCACAGTACTATGCTATACCCTAGTACTCTACAGTATACCCTATACCCTAGTACTCTACAGTCCCCTACTCTACAGTCCCCTACTCTACAGTCCCCTACTCTACAGTCCCCTACTCTACAGTCCCCTACTCTACAGTCCCCTACTCTACAGTCCCCTACAGTACTCTACCGTATTTTTAAGCAATTTACCCTACAGTAGATCCTACTGTAAAGACCCGATCTTGTCCACAGCACTACACAATCCCGAGATAAAGATACTAGCTTTACAGTACTATTCAGATGATTATGATCAGCTCCATTTGACTTCTGGGTTTTCTAAAGAGCTATTTTAGAAGAATCGATCAGTTTCCATTTGATCAGGATACCATTTTGGTTACTTTCATTGAGCCTTTCATTGATGATACCAAAACTAGGCTGATTTAATGAAAACTGGCGCTTTTTTGTACGGCAATAGTACGGGCTTTTGAAATAGTACGGTAATAGTACGGGCTTTGAAATAGTACGGTAATAGTACAGGCTTTTAGATAATGCATTAGCTGAAATGAGCTCTAATCCAGTCAAATCCGGGAAAATTTCTAGAAAATGCTGAAGAAAAATGCTTTCTAGAAAATGCTGAAGCTTTTGAGTACCGGTAATAGTAAGGGACTCAATTTTAAATCTAAATAACTTCTAATTTCTTCACAAACCTCCCGTCGCACTGGTGATCGCCGTGCATTGGCCGCCTGAAAGCAGTCAAGAAATTTGTAGAAATTTGCATTTTAAAAATAACTGTTTGTCTGTATTTTTATTCATTTGTTTTATTGGATATTAGTTTAAAAAAAACCCGAAAATGTTAAGAATTGAAGGGGTTAGTTGAAAAAAAAGAAAAAAAGAACACTCGAAAATCGCAGCTAGAATCTTTCCGCGAAAGTTTTGCTCAAGAAAAACACAAAACCTGTTTGTCTGATGGTTCTAATCCCTGAAAAGATTTAATATTTAAATATTTTACATATTGTAGATCAGATATTATAGATTGGATTTTAGATTTTGAACAACGATTAGACACTTTTGATCTTTTGACTTTGACTGACTCTGACTCTGGCTCTGACTGGCGCTCTTTAGCCTGGCCTTAGCCTGGCTTACCGAAAGGATTACTGTACAATTAGAGACAGAAAACGAAAATTGATGCCGGGTTACGGTAGTCGGAGGAGCTTCTTGGAGCTTCTTGGAGCTTCTGGAGCTTCTTGGAGCACTTTGAAGCTTTTTGGAGCTTTCTAAGCTTTTTGGGGCTTTCTAAAAAGCCCAGAAAGCTCCAAAAGCTCAAAAAGCTCCAAAAAGCTCCAAAGTGCTCCAAGAAGCTCCAGAAAAGCTTCGAAAGCTTTTCCCAAAAGCCCGCTCCGACTACCGTAACCCGGCATCAATTTGCGTTTTCTGACTCTAATTGTACAGTAATCCTTTCGGTTACGATAGAAATCTACTAGGATTACTGGAGCAAGGCCACAGTAGCCAAGAGACGCTTTAGAGGCTTGCCGATGTTCGGAACAAGTTACCGAGGCTTGCCGATGTTCGGAACAATTCTTTAAGTTATTTGATGATGCCTATTCAGATATTGGAGATCAAATAGCAGATATTAAATATTAGATAGCTATATAATATTAGAAGCTATATAAAATCAGCTCTGTTTACCTATTGCATCTTTGTTGATCGTCGTGAGCGGACACGAGCCGAACCCGGCCGGTTGCCATCCGCCATTCAAACACTCGCTTTGGGAAGTACCTGAAAATGGTTTGAATCTAGATTCACATATGCTACTATGCTACATAAAGATTCTGATTTTGATAATTAATTGCTGTTTTTCATAACTAATTGTTGTTTTTTGGTTATTGGTTTTTCATTGTCTTAGAAAGTGAAAAAGATTGTTTAGATTAGGGTATTAGGTGGCATTGTTTAGATTAGGGTATTCAGTCTAGATAGAGTATTCAGTCTTGACTGTCAGGATTATCGTCTAGATTAGAGTATTACGGTATTCCATCTAGAATAGGATATTCAGTCCAGAATAGCTAGATTACGGTATTTAGTCTAGATTAAGGTATTCAGTCTAGGTAGAGTATATCGTCTAGATTAGAGTATTCAGTCTAGATTGGAGTATTCGGTCTAGACTGTCTGGATTACGGGATTCAATCTAGAATAGGATATTCAGTCCAGAATAGCCCAAAAAGCTAGCTAGAGCTAGATATTCAGTCTAGATTAAGGTATTCAGTCTAGATTTGATTAAGCGCAACACTATTTATGCCAATTCACCATTTTTCTCGCAACTAAACATTGGAATTATCGAAACATTATCGAAATCTCAATAGAATATCGAAATCTTTATAGATTTATTATCTAAATATCTACATTTTATCCCAAAAAAACCCACCGATAACCGATCCAGTCGAGCAATTCAGACTAACCGATGTGCCCGTTGGATAGGCGCCGAATTGACCCGGCTGGCTGTAGTTTAGCGTGCCGAAAAGTGGCGGTAAAAGGCTGGGACACTAGAAATTAGATGAAATCTATTTAGATACTGTAGATCTAGACAGTAGACAAATATTATTACACTACTCACCAAAGAGGGACTTATCGTAAAGCTGGGAGAGCCCTGGCAGCTCCCTAGCGCCGGGCTCCAGCCACCATTCTGAAAGTTATCTTTACATTTACATCTGAAAGTTATCTTTACATTTAAAAGATCTTCAGCTCAGTTATAAATCTATATTTTATAATGTATTAGTTAGATTTCAATTTACTTGACAAATCGATTGCGTCGGTCCAACCGGGTTTGTCCCTTGAATGCAGGATAGATAGACTTGAGAGCCGATCGGTTTCGTGGACTAAAATGGGACAAGAATTGTGCCAGAAAGGTGCGTTTACAAGAGCACAAAGTGCACATAGAACTAATCGTACTACAGAACTAATCGTACTACAGAACTAATCGTATTACAGAACTAATCGTACTACAGAACTAATCGTATTACAGAACCACAGCAAAAACAATTTTCTATATTACGTCTAGATTCGGGGTACTGTAGGTGAGATTGCCGTTTAGTAGAGCCAAATTCGGGCAAACTGTCGAAGTGACAGACGCGGTGACGAGCGTTGATGAGATGCACGCACCTAAATCAACATAACATCATATCGTTATATCTGTAAGTTTATAATATCCTGTATTCTCTTTAATAGCCCGGAAGAGACTGAAAAAATAGTATTAAAAATCTAAATTTACTTAAAATTAGCATTTAAGCTTTTGCCGTTTGTAGCTTTGAATCATTTTGTTAAAAACACACTCTTCTACTATTTTTTCGTTGTTTTGTAATAATTTTTATGTGTTCTTTTAAATAAGAGACATTAACGGCGAGTCGAGTCAGAGGTCCTTGACCTTGAGTCAGAGGTCCGACTCGACTCGACTCGTGACTAGGCTTAGCTAATGTTATACGGCTAACGCGCTCACGGCTAAGCTAACGCGCTCACGGCTAAGCTAACGCGCTCACGGCTAAGCTAACGCGCTCACGGCTAAGCTAACGCGCTCACGGCTAAGCTAACGCGCTCACGGCTAAGCTAACGCGCTCACGGCTAAGCTAACGCGCTCACGGCTAAGCTAACGCGCTCACGGCTAACGCGCGTTAGCCGATTCGAGTCGACCCGAGTCACAAAAGCGAAACTACGAGGAAAATTCTAAAGGATTTGCAAATTGATTCGATTCTGGTACATGAAGGGTGCACTAAGAGAATCGACTTATGGCCCAGACTGGCCCGACGATTTCGCTACGTCGTTGAGACGCAAACGCCTATCGAGCATGGGGAACACGATGCTCTGTTTATTTTTGCCCATTCTCAATGGTTCACGAGAAAAGCGCTTGCGAAGTTTGGGCGCCTACTCGGGAAATCGCAGCTCGGGTATATATGGGCTCTTTCCATTCCATTCAGGTGTGACCGAATGGTGTAGAGGTAAGTCTGCGCGCTCTCAATCTCACTTTTGCTTCTCTTGACCCTGGTTCGAATCCGGTTGCGAAATTTGTTTTTGCTGGCTTTTGCTGGCTTTTGCTTGAGCTTTAAAAACACTTTTTATTTGTTTTAGAATGCCGAATACTAATTTTTAAGAATAAATGAGAGTTAAAACTCTAAAAATGAACAAAAAGTGCTTGACTTAGTTTGGACGTTATTTCGGGTGACAATTTCTGGATTAAAACAATATTATTTAGACTGCAAAGAGAAAAAGATGAGACCAATTAAAATTATTAGAAAGAATTAGAAAGAATACGGTATTCATTATCTAGATAGCAAGGTCAGTTGCATATTTAAAACAGTAGTTTCTCGTCCTACTTCTTTCGTTCCCTTCTGACCCTATAGGCCCTATCGGACTTCTATGGTCCCCTGCTGACCCTATAGGCCCTATAGGACGCCCTATAAGCCCTATAGAACTTCTTTCGCTCCCTGCTGACCCTATAGGCCCTATCGGACTTCTTTGGTCCCCTGCTGACCCTATAGGCCCTATAGGACGCTCTATAAGCCCTATAGAACTTCTTTAGCTCCCTGCTGGCCCTATAGGCCCTATAGGACTTCTTTCATCCCCTGCTGGCCCTATAGGCCCTATAGGCGATTATTAGCCAGGCTAGCTTTACAAGCTGATCTTACAGGCTGGTCTTACAGGCTAGTCTTACAGGCTGCCGCAGATCAGGGTCGTAAACTAATGACCTGGGCCTGGGCCAGAGTCATGAATAGGCTAAGATCAGGGTCATGAGCATGGCCTGGCTGGCCTACAATAGCTAGAATCTGTTCAGTCTGTAAGTATGAAGCCTGTTTCTAAGTAATCTTAAGAAAAAATTAGAATAGAAAAAACCGTAAGTCAATTGGTGAATTGGAGAGTTTTAAACAGAACATAAATAACGACAAATTTCACACTTATAGACCCAAAGATTATCTATTTACCTAAAGCCTTGCAAAGATAATCTATTCACCTAAAGTCGTCGGTATCCAGACTCCATTGTTGCAAGTGGCTGTTAGTGCTCCTTGAGCCGAGAAACCGCTTGGACAACTCAATGAAGCTGTGGAGAGGGATGGGCGCTGATTGGCAGCTAAAAATCTCCCTTATCTAGATACAATGAATCTAAAATACATCGATTTTGAGTCATGGATACTTGGTACTGAATAGGGCCAAATACTAGGCATTACTCGTTGAAAATTACTTATTAATTACCCAGCACCGGCACTAGTACCTGGTCTAGTCCCTGGTGCTGTTATCGTAGCATATGGGCCACCCTGTACAGTACCAGCCATGGTCCACCCTGTACCAGCCATGGGCCACCCTGTACAGTACCAGCCATGGGCCACCCTGTGCAGTACCAGCCATGGGCCACCCTGTACAGTATCAGCCATGGGCCACCCTGTACAGTACCAGCCATGGGCCACCCTGTACCAGCCATGGGCCGCCCTGTACAGTACCAGCCATGGGCCACCCTGTACAGTACCAGCCATGGGCCACCCTGTACCAGCCATGGGCCGCCCTGTACAGTACCAGCCATGGGCCACCCTGTACAGTACCAGCCATGGGCCACCCTGTACCAGCCATGGGCCGCCCTGTACAGTACCAGCCATGGTCCACCCTGTACCAGCCATGGTCCACCCTGTACAGTACCAGCCATGGTACAGCTTTTAAATAGTACCTGTACCACATAGTAAGCTCATTTAGTAAGCTCATTTATTTTCCACCACCTGAACTCGAGTAATTGACCGTTCCAACGGCGGTGATTAGTTGAATATCCATGCATTGACCCCCAGCATTCCCCGAATTCACTCCAAATATCGACGTGCCGGAGACGCAGCTACCTGTAAAGATCAGTAAGTAAAGATAATCAGCTTTAGTTGATTATCGTTACGGTATAGCAAAACAATTTTTGCCGTATACTGTAATTCTTACCCAATTCCGGAATCCAGGCTCCATTCTGGCAGAAGCTCGCGCCGGCTCCCTGGATAACGAAACCAAGATTGCAGTTGAGATTCGCGGAAAGTTGATTGCCAAAGCCTGCAATCAAGCATTATCAAGCATAAAAATATATAGACAAAGATATAATTCAAAGACAATTTTGATAGTATCTAAGGAATCTAAAGTTTTAGCCTCTCTGTAGCCTCTATGTAGCCTCTATGTAGCCTCTAAGTAGCCTCTCTGTAGCCTCTATGTAGTCTCTATGTAGCCTCTATGTAGCTTCTAAGTAGCCTCTCTGTAGCCTCTATGTAGCGATCGTATTCCTTAGTGAGGCCTGCCTCTATCAATGCTTTAGGCTGAAAAATTTCTTGTAGATAGATTTCATCCTATTTTTATAGATATTAGACATATACATTGGGTTATCCAGTTATGAATGCGCGTTTTTACTATTCTGTAAATTTCTCAAGATATCGAACAGATGTATATGAGTGTCATATATCATTCGAGAGCTGAAGATCTCCTCTACATTTTGGAATAAAAAAGTTTTTGAATTCATTCAACTTTTTGGGAAATTGACTGCACAAAGGGAGAGGTCGTTTTCGAAAAAACCCATTTCAGCTTAGCTATTCCTCAAGTTTTATGGTGTAAAATAACCGCCCAGAAAAGAAAAGTAAAGATGCTCTGAAATTGTTATATTTAAAAAAAGTTGTATTGATATATCTATTAGGCAAACATCAAACGGTTAGCTCAATTTGAGCGGAGCCAAAACTTGATCCAAAGGCACCTCGGCTGGCTCTGAGTCCAGAGAGCTGGCTCTGAGTCCAGAGAGCTGGCTCTGAGTCCAGAGAGCTGGCTCTGAGTCCAGAGAGCTGGCTCTGAGTCCAGAGAGCTGGCTCTGAGTCCAGAGAGCTGGCTCTGAGTCCAGAGAGCTGGCTCTGAGTCCAGAGAGCTGGCTCTGAGTCCCGAGAGCCAAAATTTGATCCATTTTTTGTCCACCTCTTCTTCTGTGCAGTCAATTTGCCCAAAAGTTGAACAAATTCAAAAACTTTTGATATCAAAATGTAGAGGAGATCTTCAGCTTTCGAATAATACTCATATATAACTTTTTCTTGATTTCGGTATCTTGGGAAATTAACAAAATAGTGAAAAACACGCATTCATAACTGGACAAACCAATATATTTCAAATTTCAAATACTATTTTAACGTTTTATCAAATTTTTTTCCAAATCCAACCATTCAAAATGATCTGTCCATTGTCAGCGCTCACTTGTGGACAGTTGCTCTGAAAATTTTGCATTAAAATTTAGATTTTTAACCAAAAAAAAACGAAAAAACGTTAATTTAGAAAGATTATTAGAGGTTAAGAAAGAGAATTCTTAGCTTTTGTTAGAGCAAATTGAACTTTTTATTGACCTGTCTCTTTACCACGGTCAATGGGATTTCCGTGTCGTTGGGGTTTAGCTAAAATAGAGGCCTAACTATGGAAATTATTATATTATTGTAGAATCTCATACTTGATGACATGTACTTTGTGTACTTTGTGCTTGCGTAAACGCTAAACACAAAGCACATCTGAAGCCTATAAATCACCTTTTCACAACTCCCGATCAGATTTGACCATTGCCGGAAATGGCAGCTCACATTTTGAACTCCACGAACAATGTACCCTTGATCACAAGCGAGTGAAGCAGAAGCTCCTATAGAAAAATTTGTTAGCAAATTGTAGCTTATCTAAAACCTTCAGTCAACGGCTTTGAACCATTCGATGATGAGTAAGAGATTCGGCCATTCAACGGCACAAGCATTGGTTGACAATGAATCTCCAACGAGGAGACACACTCGCCGATTGGCGGACTCCAGAGACCAAGTTTACAAGTTGACGTGACCTAGAAAATCGCTTGATATGTCAGATTCAGTGTTAGTCAGATAGTCAGCTAGTCAGATAGTCAGCTAGTCAGATAGTCAGATAGTCAGCTAGTCAGCCAGTCAGATAGTCAGCTAGTCAGATAGTCAGCTAGTCAGATAGTCAGATAGTCAGATAGTCAGCTAGTCAGATAGTCAGATAGTCAGCTAGTCAGATAGTCAGCTAGTCAGATAGTCAGCTAGTCAGATAGTCAGCTAGTCAGATAGTCAGCTAGTCAGATAGTCAGCCAGTCAGATAGTCAGCTAGTCAGATAGTCAGCTAGTCAGCTAGTCAGCTAGTCAGCTAAATCAAGGATTTCAAATAGAGGCTGATTGGACTAAAGAATCTTGGAAAAATCTCTCTGTAAATCGAGAGACATCGTACAATTTTCATTGTCATTCGTTTTTCAAAGGCTTTCAGGCTTTCAGGCTTTCATTTGCTTTGCTTATAATGCTTTCATTTGCATTATAAAATACCAGCTGAGCTGGGCAGCCACTAGGCGATTGTTTAGCTAAAATTAGCATTAAATTCCCTCTCTTAAATGCAAATTGGCTGGTCATTGTAAATTTTAAACTCAAGGAACTCGGCAGGAAATGACGTTTTCCTACAAATGGACTTCAGATTCGGAATCAGCGAATATTTTTACCCTAAAAAAACCCCTGACCCTTTGCTTAGTAAACCACTGCACTAATCACTCGATCACCGGAACATCTTAACCGGAACGTCTTAACCGGAACGTCTCAACCAGAAAGTCTCAACCGGAGCCTCTCAACCGGAACATCTTAACCGGAACGTCTCAACCAGAAAGTCTCAACCAGAAAGTCTCAACCGGAGCCTCTCAACCGGAAGATCTCAACCGGAACGTCTCAACCAGAAAGTCTCAACCAGAAAGTCTCAACCGGAACCTCTCAACCGGAAGATCTCAACCGGAACGTCTCAACCAGAAAGTCTCAACCGGAACCTCTCAACCGGAAGATCTCAACCGGAACGTCTCAACCAGAAAGTCTCAACCAGAAAGTCTCAACCGGAGCCTCTCAACCGGAAGATCTCAACCGGAACGTCTCAACCAGAAAGTCTCAACCGGAGCCTCTCAACCGGAAGATCTCAACCGGAACGTCTCAACCAGAAAGTCTCAACCAGAAAGTCTCAACCGGAACCTCTCAACCGGAAGATCTCAACCGGAACGTCTCAACCAGAAAGTCTCAACCAGAAAGTCTCAACCGGAGCCTCTCAACCGGAAGATCTCAACCGGAACGTCTCAACCAGAAAGTCTCAACCGGAACCTCTCAACCGGAACATCTCAACCAGAAAGTCTCAACCGGAGCCTCTCAACCGGAACCTCTCAACCGGAACGTCTCAACCAGAAAGTCTCAACCGGAACCTCTCAACCGGAACATCTCAACCAGAAAGTCTCAACCGGAACATCTCAACCGGAACCTCTCAACCGGAACATCTCAACCGGAACCTCTCAACCGGAACATCTCAACCGGAACCTCTCAACCGGAACATCTCAACCAGAAAGTCTCAACCGGAACATCTCAACCGGAACCTCTCAACCGGAACATCTCAACCAGAAAGTCTCAACCGGAACTTCTCAACCGGAACATCTGAACCAGAAAGTCTCAACCGGAACCTCTCAACCGGAACCTCTCAACCGGAACATCTCAACCAGAAAGTCTCAACCGGAACATCTCAACCGGAACCTCTCAACCGGAACATCTCAACCGGAACCTCTCAACCGGAACATCTCAACCAGAAAGTCTCAACCGGAACTTCTCAACCGGAACATCTGAACCAGAAAGTCTCAACCGGAACCTCTCAACCGGAACCTCTCAACCGGAACATCTCAACCAGAAAGTCTCAACCGGAACATCTCAACCGGAACCTCTCAACCGGAACATCTCAACCGGAACCTCTCAACCGGAACATCTCAACCGGAACCTCTCAACCGGAACATCTCAACCGGAACCTCTCAACCGGAACATCTCAACCAGAAAGTCTCAACCGGAACATCTCAACCGGAACCTCTCAACCGGAACATCTCAACCAGAAAGTCTCAACCGGAACTTCTCAACCGGAACATCTGAACCAGAAAGTCTCAACCGGAACCTCTCAACCGGAACCTCTCAACCGGAACATCTCAACCAGAAAGTCTCAACCAGATCTTCCAAAGCCCCTTAAGACTGTATAAGCAAAAACTTCTAACCCAGTTTTAGTGTGTTTATAGTTCTCAGCTAGTTTTTACATCATTCGACTCGTCTTTTCAGGCTCTACGGGAGTCCGAGTGCTTGGATTCCGCCGCGTAATCCAACCGTTTCATTGTCACTCGCTCTCCCCTTTACGGATTTGAAAAGGGAACAGCTATATATTGAAGATGTTTGCCAGATGGAGAGCGATGATGCGGCTGCACAAAGAACACTTCTCCAATCGTTTACATAGGGATTTCTCTTACATAGGGCCTCGGTGAACGACGCGTTTAGAAAGTTGGTGTTTTCTTTAACTATAGAAAGGCGAAAAGCTACTGAAAAGTGACAGTGTAAGCCTAATTTAGGCCGTAGAAACCGAAAAACATGGTTTCAAGACGATTTAAGCCCTCTATTAGCACGAAAAACGCGTTTTTTGAAAAGCCAGAAATACACACCTTCCCTTGCATGCCCTGAAATTCGTCAAAAATTAAATTCAATTAAAAAAACAAATATGCCATCTTAAAGAGCACATTTCAAGCTTTCAGAATCACTATAACACTAATAGGTGGCAGTGGACAATTCTCAAGTTGCGGCGCTTTAAAGTTGAGGTAAAATTCGAGAGTTACATCGGGTCGACGAATCGATTGGGGATATTTATTTTATTGATTCTATCAAATATCGGGATCATTCTGTCCCTGTTCTCCATGGGAATCACTTTTTTTTGATTCTACCAATTAGATTTTCTATTTAATCAATGATCTAATAGATTTTACATCAGTAGATACTCCCTTTTTCGCTCACCTCTCCAACAGCCACGTAAGCGAGATCGCAGAACAGAGTGACGGTGCTGAGGTTTGGGTATCGAGCTGAAAACTCGTAGAAATTGTTAGTGATTGATTTAGTACAGATTTAGTACTAAGTTCACTTCTTTCAACGCTTCTTTCAACAGTCTTTTTCCAAAACATGTCAACTTTTGAAGACTACAATAAGCTACAATCACAATCAACATCTACAATCAACAATCAACATCTAGAATCAACAATACAATAATGAAGACTATAATTACGGTTTACGGTAGGCTACAACGACTACGGTAGGCTTACAACGATTACAGTAGGCTTACAAGGATTACGGTAGGCTTACAATGATTACAGTAGGCTTACAATGCTTACAGTAGGCTTACAACGATTACAGTAGGCTTACAATGCTTACAGTAGGCTTACAACGATTACAGTAGGCTTACAACGATTACTGCAGGCTTACAACGATTACGGTAGGCTTACAACGATTACTGCAGGCTTACAACGATTACGTTAGGCTTACAACGATTACGGTAGGCTTACAACGATTACAGTAGGCTTCCAATGACTACAGTAGGTTTGCAACGATTACAGCAGGCTTACAACGATTACTGCAGGCTTACAACGATTACGGTAGGCTACAACGACTACGGTAGGCTTACAACGATTACGGTAGGCTTACAACGATTACAGTAGGCTTCCAATGATTACAGTAGGTTTACAACGATTACAGCAGGCTTACAACGTTTACAGTAGGTTTATAATGATTACAGTAGGCTTACAATGATTGGCTACAACGATTACAGTGCTCGAGAAAGTTTCCACGTTTTGAAAAACGCATTAATAAAGAGAGACTAATCATCTGGCGCATTTTCCTACCGTAATCTTCTTTCCAGTTTTTATCCATTTTAAAACCAACCATCCTTTGCCATTGCCGAGTAGAGCAATGATCCATGCGAGACTTTTCCGATTGCAGCACACTCAGAAGAGCCGTGTGTGATGCTTGGTCCATCTGCTGCAGCCACATTCAACAAAGAGATACCCCGAGGCTTAGCTGAATACTTTACATTGAAGAATCTTGTCTTGAAGTCAAAAATTTAAGTCCTACAGTACAATGACTGCACTTTGACTTCACTGGATAGTGACTACACTAAGCTACAATCAACAATACAATAATGAAGACTACAATTACGGTTTACGGTAGGCTACAACGACTACGGTAGGCTTACAACGATTACAGTAGGCTTAGGCTTAGGCTTAGGCTTAGGTACAGTTCAGTCATTGTACTTTTCCCTCCAATCTGTAAACGCACCCTTTCTGGTGCACAGATTTATCATTTTCTTGCAGTAAAAACTCTGGTTTCTCGAGAAAAACGAGGAATTCAGTGCACCAGAAAAAGTGCGTTTAAAAACTTTAGCACAAACGCTGGACAAACGCAAAAACGCAAAAAGTCTAACATACTTTGTGCTCAAATTTCGAAAAGCACCTATTCTGATGCACTTGATTTTCTCGCATCAAGGACTTGATATCAAAAGAAAAGTGGAGATTTCAGGGCACCAGAAGGGCTACGTTTACAGGCTCAAGCACAACGTATACGGCTGCTCACCGCTTTGCTGCACACATCCGCCGAGTGACGCCGGGAACCAGCCCTTCTTCGTGCAAAGGACCTTAATCAATCATCAATCAATCAAATCAATAAATCAATAAATCAATAATCAAATTTAGATATAAATTTACATACCGTAAATACTGTAATAGTACCTCATAATGACCCATAATGTGGTGGCCCCATAATGACGGTGCGGAGCGTTGCGTAGTCTAGCTTTGAACGAGTTTTTCTCGACACTGGTTTATGCTACAATGTTCGTTTTGATTTCAAAAAATAGCTGAAATTCAGGGCTATTTTTTGAAATCAAAACGAACATTGTAGCATAAACCAGTGTCGAGAAAAACTCGTTCAAAGTTAGACTACGCAACGCTCCGCACCGTCATTATGGGGGTGGGGTATTATTACAGTATTTACGGTATCTTTTATTTAATCTAGCTTTACTCATACTTGTGTTTGTCCTGTAGCCGAAAAGCCAGAGTCACAAATCGTGTGCGCAGCGGTGCCGAGAGAGAACGCGCCCGAGCCCGGCGTCGAGTAGTGGACCTGGATAATTAGATCTGTAAGTGATTATGGATCTAATTATCCAGCTCATTAGATCTAACGATCATTATCTAATCTAGATTTAGATTAGATTAGCTACTGATTAGATTAGCTACTGGTTAGATTAGCTACTGGTTAGATTAGCTACTGATTAGATTAGATAATGATTAGATTAGCTACTGGTTAGATTAGCTACTGATTAGATTAGATAATGATTAGATTAGCTACTGGTTAGATTAGCTACTGATTAGATTAGATAATGATTAGATTAGCTACTGGTTAGATTAGCTACTGATTAGATTAGATAATGATTAGATTAGATAATGATTAGATTAGCTACTGGTTAGATTAGCTACTGGTTAGATTAGATAATGATTAGATTAGATAATGATTAGATTAGATAATGATTAGATTAGATAATGATTAGATTAGCTACTGGTTAGATTAGCTACTGGTTAGATTAGCTAATGATTAGATTAGCTACTGATTTTTAAGAATAATATAATAATAATATCTAATATTAATCGAGATTTTTATCAGAAACCTTTCCGTGCTCGACGTCCAGAAGTTTCATGCAATTGTGCTCGGTGCCCGCTGGATGAACGACACTTCCGCCGTCGGACCAACTAGAATTTAGAATTCATTTTCTAAAACATATTCATTTCCCTGTTGAAATTGGGCACTAAACTATTGTAATCTTGTCTTTAAATTTTGAGACAAGATTACGGTGGTTTAGAAAAGGAAACCCTCAGACAAAAAGTGGACAAAAAGTGGATAGATTGGATAAATTAGAGACAGGATTACGATAGTTTTCGGCTAGATATCGCCTAGAAGCCTAGTTAGACTCCTTACCCGAAACAAGAGAACGTTAAATCTCGGGTCATCCCCGGGAAACGAGCTGACGGATCCAACGAGTAGGCGAAGGCTGAAAACACCTCTGAATCACTTGTGCTCTTGTAAAAGCAATCCTTCTAAACTTCTGTACTTCGCACTGAATTCTTCAGTTTTCTCCTTCAGTTTTCAGGAACAACTTGAGGAATTCAGTGCGCCAGAACGAGTGGGTTTACAGATTTGACCCCAATGGGCATACTCGTATGCTGAAATTACTTGTATCTTTTCCGTTTCCTTGGAAATATTTGAAAATTTGCACATCGGCCCCGCATGCGCCCAGGGTTCGCCCGCAGAAGAGATTATCGTGAAGATCTGGAAGTGTTGTTCTGTATTTTATGATACTAAAAAGTTAAGGAACTGGTTCATTTAAGCGTAAAGATTTACCGCTAGAATGGCAACGGTAAAGGTAATGTAACGGGAAAGGATACTGTAAAGGCAAGCACTAAACGATGCCTGTAATGGAACTGCTTCAAGAACTGCTTCACGATCTGCTTTACGATCTGCTTTACGAACTGCTTCAAGAACTGCTTCACGAACTGCTTCAAGAACTGCCCTACGATCTGCTTTAAGAACTGCTTCACGAACTGGTTCACGATCTGCTTTACGAACTGCTTCATGAACTGCTTCACGAACTGCCCCACAAACCCCCACTATTATTATTATTCACCTGTAACGGTACTGCAACTAAACTAATTACCATATCTACAAGATTATACAGTTAGATTATACAGAATTTAAAACCAATAATCTCCACTTACCCGTAAATCCATACGGTGCTCCTAAAATGTTCTCCAAATGATTGATCTGCCCGTCGTCGCGTTGATTGGTGCCGATTTTTGCCGAACATCCATTCACGCAACCGCCCGCACTTCGCGCCATTAATACGACGAAATTGTCACGATCTTTTGGGCTAAACATTTGATAGAATAAGCTATAGTAATAGATCTATTTAACCCTATCTTGGTCTGTGCTAGTCTTTATGGCATGTATGGCAATCCAGGGCCAAACCAGGCAATCCAGGACCTGAATTCTAGCCTGACCTGGCCTGTAAGTTGACATTAATATAGCATTGATGTTAGACAGGGTTTTTTATCCCCAGTTTTCTACAGTAGTTTAATCTTATTGATAGTTATACTAGCAGGTATACTAGCAGGTATACTGTAACTACTGAATGGCTTTTTTTTCTATCCCACCAACCTTCTCACATATCCTTTATCCGTGAGATCTTCATCCGAGATTCGATAAACATCTCCAGTCCCATCTCCAGTCCCATTTCCATCTTTTAACCAAACCGATACGGCAGCTTAAAATCGATTTATTCAAAGGAAAGTATTTAATCAAACCGAGATCTTTTGGCGCATCCGATGATGGACAAAGCTGACTGTTGAGCAGAGAAAATTTGGAAAATAGAAGAAATAGTTGAATGAAGTGTTTGAATAACATTCCTTCAAAGCATCAGCTAGCTAAAGTAAAGCATATTGTGTCATATAAAGCATAAAAAATGTCCTTGACCAGTAAAGTGAGATCTTTTTGTGCATCTGATGATGGACAAAGCTGATAGCAAAGCAAAGCAAAGTAAAAACACTGGGTTTACTCCAAAGATTCGGTTCCTTTTCCCTACAGATTTGGTTCCTTTTCTCTACAGATTTCTCTACAGATCTGCTACAGATCTGTTACAGAAAACACTACTTTGTGTTCAACGGTTGAGGCTAGTTTAATGCAAGAGAAGGGGTGCATTTACAGATCCGAGCACTCGAGCTAACTAGGGAAAGGCACCAGGTAAAGGTCGACTTTTAATCCAAGAGCCACGGGGCTTTATAGAATCGCCTATGCTGATTCTGAATATGCGTTTACTTTTTCCAATGGAGCTCTGTAACACGAGAGATCTGACATCAAAGTTTAGACCGAGTTTCGAAGTCTTTATAAGCCTTTCTCTCTTCCTTAAATGTGGCGCAGCGGCCTAAACTTTATCGAATCATCGAAACATTCTCTTCACCGATGAAAAGTTTTTTTCTGTCGAACAGTTTGTGAACCATCAAAAATATTGATGCTAGATTCGATCTAACCAATCTGTGGCACGAGCAGGTTATCCCAAATCGTTGATAGTCTGGACTGGTATCACCGCTGACGGAAAAACTCCTTTTTATTGTTCCACAAGGAATCAAAGACAATGCGATCAATTATTCGGATATGCTTAAGCAAGAAATACATCTATGAGCTAAAAAGCATTTTGGAAACAAGATTTGGTGCTTTCAACAAGATGGGGCACATTAAAACAAAGCTCTCATCGTTCTAGATTGGTGCAAGGATAATTTCCCTGATTTTATCGATTTTAACCATCAAGCCGGGACCTCAATCCTCTCGATTATTTTTTATGGAGTGTATTGGAAGCAAAAGCATGCTCGAAGCCCCATCCAACAGTCGATTCTTTGAAGAAAGCCCTTTAGAAAGCTTGGGACGAGTTTGGCACGAGTTTGGAACACGCTCTACCTTCTCGCCACCGTGAACACGTTCCCAAAAACGCCTGTGTTGCCGTCAAGGGAGATCTTTTTGAAAAAAGAAGCAAATTTTTAAGTTAATTATTGTACTAAAATGGTTTTGGCTATTTTGGTGTCATTTTAATTCATCTTAATGTCATTTTAAGGTGGTCTTTAAATCCTCAAATTCTTTAGTCTCCGTAATTCTGGACAACCTTGTAACGGCCCAAAAAGACAACCCAACCCACGGCAACCTAATATTCAACTATGCAATCAATAAAGCGAACGCTAAAGTACAAATTTGCCGATTTGCACCAGAAGAAGTTTATGCTCTGCGTTTTCTGGGATATGGAGGGAGTGGTGTACTGGGAGTTGGTGGATGGCAAGACGACCGTTATTGCAATCAAATACAGTGAACAGTTGGAAAAGGTGAATGAGTCCCTAAAGAAGAATAGGCCCTTCAAGTCAAAGGTCGTACTCCTCCACGACAACGCGCGCCCTCATGTTGCAAAACTGACTCGCTCTAAAATAAACAGCCTTATTCAGGAACTTTTGGCGCATTCTCCATACAGTCCGGACCTTGTCCCTTATGATTACTATTTATTCCGGGTCAGGAGTAATGAGAACACTTCAATTAGGAAGAAGCAGTCAAAAATTGGCTTTGAAAGTTTTTCGATTTAAAACCAAAATCCAACTACGAAAGAGGAATCCGCAAATTGCCTGTAAAATGGGCAGAAGTCGTCAATAATAAAGGAAATTATCTGGAATGAATTGATGGTCTTATGTTGAATAAATTTTAGTTCAAAGTCCGGCAGTTTTCAATTGACCAAACCAATATTTTGAAATAAGTAGGCAAATAATAATTTCGAAATAATGTAGGTAAGATATTTTTGGGAAGCGGTGCTCTAGCCCCCCTCGCGCCACCCAATCCTCGATTTTTCTCGCACAATTGACTTCCGGTTGTTGTGAGCGATGTGTTTAACCCCTTTTCCTCACCCCAAAATCATAATAACACTTAGTTGACTATACAATTGCTATGCTAGAACGAAAAAAATGGCTTTAAGAAAGAGTTGAAGTCTTTAAAGGCCTTCAAAGTCTTTCAGAGTCTTTCAGAGTCTTTTAAAGTCTTTCAAAACCAATTTTTCTTACGTAAAAGCAACCCTGGCCATTTTGCTGGATTAAAACTGAAAAATTCTAAATCTGAAAATGGATTTTAATACTATATTATATTAAAGAATCTATCTGAAACTTTAGAATTAAAATTTTCGAAATTTGAAAGCCAAAAGCAGTTGTAAAATTTCAAAATTTCAAAAAAGTTTTCAAGAGATTTGGGGAGCTTTTTTTTGATGAAAACAAGTTTTTTTGCATTTTTTTGGGGGTTTTCTATTCATGTCTATTTCGATAATGAGCTCTTGTTTGGCGTACGGTAATCCGGGGGAAATCTCTAGAGTTTACCCGGGGATTTTTTTTGGCTGTTTGCTGTTTTTTGGCAGTGATTCAGTTGGATTTCGATTTTCAACCAATCTCATGTGAAAAAGTATAGCAAATCCTATTCAAAAAAGTCGCAAAAAGCTTGGGTTCTCTTTTATCATTTAGAATTTATCATTTAGATATTTACAAGTGTTTCATCCATCATCGGGTAGTCATTATTATATAGATACTTTATTCAGAACCTGAGATAAAGTGCGCTAGATTTAGATCTAGATTTAAAAATTAAAGAAAGTGCGCTAGATTTAAAGATTAAAGTGCTCTAGATTAAAACACATGAATTCATGCACAAAACACGAAAAGGGCCGATAAAAAGGCGATAAAAGCAACACGATATAATAGTTGTAATAGATGGGTAGCACAGAAAACGTCAAGGATCCACTAGAGCTTCAAGCTTCAAGATCATCTACAGATAATTTAAAGGTTTCGAGACTATTGGACTCTCTCAAAACTCTGGGGAGATAACGTCAAGGATCTACTACAGGGTGCGTCATAATTATTGCAGCAAGAGTTCAAAGACGTTCAAAGTTTTAAAGAAGAATGTGATGTCATGGGCGTGTAAAGCCAATAACAATCAAAAATGGACCTTCATGCAAGATGGAGCTCCCGCTCAGACGATTCAGGATTCAGAAGACGGTTCAGGACTGGTGTGTCGCCAACTTTCCCTCAGTGATCACAAAGGATGAATGGCCTCCAAACTCACCGGATCTCAATGTGATGGACTTTTCCATTTGGGCAATCTTAGAGGCTAATGTCTGCTCTCGAAAACACACAAGTTTGGATTCTTTGAAGAAGTCTTTGACCTTGAAGAAGTCTTTGACCAAAGGATGGAAGGCGACTCCTCAAGATTCGGGCTCAAGATGACATTCGGGCCGCAGTGGAGGCATATCCGAACCGATTAAGGGCTGTTATCAAGGCAAAAGGCGGTCATATCGAATGATCTCTTGTTTCCTTATTTGTTACTGTTAGATAAAGCTATTACTGTTTAAAAATCTTCTTCCAGTGAAACTTCTTGGTGTGCAATGCCTTGAGTATCTTGTTGCAATAATTATGACGCACCCTGTAGAGCTTCAAGAGCAAGATCACTTACAGATGATCAACATCATCAACAGATGATCAACATCATCTACAGTTAAAAGCATTCATCCCGACCCTCTTTTTTTCCTGGTCTCTTTGAATTCGGCTCTCTACGGGGCGCCTCGAGTAGCGGGCATTTTCTCATACGCGAACCTTTCCGTTTCCAACCGCTAACCTTCCGGGTAGCACAAATAACGTCAAGGATCCACTCCACTAGAGATCTACTAGAGCTTCAAGCTTCAATATCAAGATCATCTACAGATAATTTAAAGGCTCCGAGACTATTGAACTCTCTCAAAACTGGACTCTCTCAAAACTGGACTCTCTCAAAAAGGGAGTCAATTCCAAATTCTAGCAGTTCTTATTGGAAAAGAGTTATAAACAAACTTATTGGAGGAATTTCACAAACTGGAATTTCACAAACTGGAATTTCACACACTGGAATTTCTAAAACGAAAGAACCTCTCCTTGAACTAACCGTGGGATTAACTTTGAATAAATCTCGAAAAAGAGGGATAGGTTGCCTGCCCTTTACAATTTTGAAACATTCTATTAAATCTGTGACCAAGCGGCGGTGTCTAAGAGATTAAAGATCAAAAATTTTGAGTCTATCTTTGTAACTAAAGTATGCAAATTTGGAAAAATCTATCTAAAAATCTATCTAAAAATCGATTTTCCATAGAGCTACCTTGGTATATCTCTGCTGGATTTTTTTTCTAGGCGAGCGATATCAACTTGTGAATGTGGAGACCAAACTATAGATGCATACTCTAGAATGGGTCTAACGTACAGTACTGGACAATGAAATATCATATTTGAAAAACGATCGTCACTTTCGCGCGTCTGTAACTTTTGTAGATGGTATAAGAAGAAGCTATTCAATCGTAAATTTGTACCCAGGGGGTTTTCGGGAGCGGGGAATCGATTGTCTTGTATTGTAGCCAGAATTTACTGTACCAGACTTACTGTACCAGGTATGCTATGCCCTAGCTACAGTAGCTAGGGCCTACTGTAGCGCAGGTTAACTGTAGTTAGGATTACTATACTCTGGTATAGCTAGGATTGATGTAGCTATGATTACTGTAGCTAGGACTACTGTAGCTAGGATTACAGTAGCTAGGATTACTGTAGCTAGAGCATGAAGTATTTGTGAAAATATAGAGATCAAATGGTTGACTCTAATCAAAAAGAAGCAAAGAAAGTAATCTTCAGAAAGCAGAAAAGTTTCCTTTTTTTCGATATCTAGATGAGTGACCTAGATGGGGGGAGAGGTTGAACAAAAAAGGCGCAAAAGAAATTGGAAAAAGGATAGGGAAACTGGTAGGGAAAGGGGGCGGAAAGGGGAAGGGATTGACCGACAAACGTCTACCAGATAAACATGCGAATAGAAATGGAATAAAGAATGTGAAAATTAAACAAATTGTCTTGTCATTGTCATTCTTGTCATTGTCATTCTCGTCAATTTCTTTTACACAATTGCTTTTCCAAATCCATCTCGACAACAGCTTTCGATCTCTTTGCTCGTAAAGGGATTTGGTTTGATGGGAATTTGAAACGGATATTGGGAGGAAACATTGCTCAAAACTTTCATTTCAATGAAGATTTAAAATAAGAGGAAAAATCTGGAAAGAACTTTGTTTAAACGAACTTTGTTTAAGAATGTCATTTACCGTAAACTTGTCTTGATTTGAGCCAAGGTATTTGTACGTAAAAAGTACTATATCTTCTTGTACTTCTTGTACTTTCTTGTACTTCTTGTACTTTCTTGTACTTCTTGTACTTCTTGTACTTTCTTGTACTTCTTGTACTTTCTTGTACTTCTTGTACTTTTTGAAGAAGAATCTACTGTAAATTTGTACCCTAGGGTTTTCAAAGAAGCTGAATCCGAATCCAGCGTCGACTTTTCAAAATAACATTACTCAAAACTTTCATTCCAGTTCATTTCAGTCATATTCCGATAGTAAAACTTGTTATTTTGAAGAGTCGATGCTGAATTCGGATTCAGCTTCTTTGAAAACCCTAGGGTACAAATAAAAAAAGAAATTTTCAGTAGATTCTTCTTCAAAAAGTACAAGAAGTACAAGAAAGTACAAGAAAGTACAAGAAAGTACAAGAAAGTACAAGAAGATATAGTACTTTTTTACGTACAAATACCTTGGCTCAAGACAAGTTTACGGTAAATGACATTTTTAAACAAAGTTCGTTTAAACAAAGTTCTTTCCAGATTTTTCCTCTTATTTTAATTCTTCATTGAAATGAAAGTTTTGAGCAATGTTTCCTCCCAATATCCGTTTCAAATCCCCATCCCTTTGAGAGAGAGCGAAAAGAGCAGAGAGATCGAAAAGGATTTGAAATCGGAAAAGGGGATAATCGGCTTTGTTCTGCTGGGTCAACGCTGAATCATCTATTACCCGAAATGAACCTCAATGAGCAATGGGAAAACGAACTTTCCTATTAACAATCTACCCGAAAAACTATTAAGAAAGGGAATTGAGAAGTGAATTGGGTTGCTTTCATAATTTGATTTATTCTGAATTTCCTAGTTAGAGCCGACTTTTCAAGCCAAGCCAGACTTGGCTTTAGTTTTGGCAAGAGGAAGATGCTGCCTGTTTTCTGGTATCACTTCTGAAAAGGTATCACTTTTCAAAAACTATCGTCATCTTCTTTCTGTTATACTTTTCTGTTATACTTTTCTGTTTTTCCACCAGTACAATATCTATTAGGCCACCAGCACACTTCCATTAGGCCACCAGCACACTATCGATTAGGCCACCAGCACACTATCTATTAGGCCACCAGCACACTATCTATTAGGCCACCAGCACACTTCCATTAGGCCACCAGCACACTTCCATTAGGCCACCAGCACACTTCCATTAGGCCACCAGCACACTTCCATTAGGCCACCAGCACACTTCCATTAGGCCACCAGCACACTTCCATTAGGCCACCAGCACACTTCCATTAGGCCACCAGCACACTTCCATTAGGCCACCAGCACACTATCGATTAGGCCACCAGCTCACATTTGGGAGAAGGCGTTCCAACCTTATAAACCTGCCGAAATTGAGCCGAATTTTTTACGCTAAAGATCTCGCCGTACAGAGCTCTTTTGGAAAAGTTAAAACCAGATTCGGAATCAGCGAAAAAAAACTCTATCAGATAGGCTCGAAAAGCCTAACTTAACTTGACAACATTGACAACATTCCCTAGTAAGAACACCCCTGGAAGGCACTGTCTTTATGCTATCGATCGCTTAGTAATAAACTTAAAATAAATCTTTAGAATCACATTGAACGACTTTTATTCAATTTACACATATACACAAATACTTTCTTTTTCTTTTTTCCTTTTTTCCATTCATTTCCCATTCACAGTTTGACCATTCGTCGTCTCGGCCGCTTTCAGCGTTTTCTGGCGTGAGCGGTGCTCGGTTGGCTGCAAATTAGCATAGATTTCTTTTTTAATATCCCCCTTTTTATGTACCTTATTCAAATTGAGAGCAAATTTCAGCTCATCGCGAATCTCGTTCACAATCGGTTTCTAAAATTTCATTGAATATGAAATTGAAATTTCATCGATTTTCTCAAGCCAACCTTGTCCTTTTTCGCCATTTGCCGGCTCCGAATCAGTAACTCGATGATTACGGTAATTAGACTGAAAAGGTGCATTATAGAAAAGACAATAAGCTTCCAATTGATTTGCTTAGCTTATTGGTAAAGCGCTCGTCCAATAAGCTAAGCTAAGCTAAAGTCGTGAGTTCGAATCCCGACGGTTTGAACCATTGTCTTTTTATGTTCCTTAACCCAGAAAGACGAATTCAACTCAATAACTGAATATCTTTATATATTGTGAATTAAAAGCTATTCAGTGACTCACCCGAACAAAAGCCCAGCGATAAGGATGATGAACAAACCAGCGACGTTGTGGAATGAAAGGGAGAAACGCTGCTGCTTCACCGCACCTCCACCCTGACAAGAGGCTCCTCTGGAAATGAGGACTGTAGGTATGAGAAGCTCACAGTCTAGAGTCCAATTCTTGGCTTTGAAAACCAGATCAGGCCAGGAGGGATACCAAACTCAGAAACTAGATCAAAAATTCTTCAATCATCTGGTGTTTTTATGAGCTCTGGATGAGCTCTGGATGAGCTGGATGAGCTCTGGATGAGCTGGATGAGCTCTGGATGAGCTGGATGAGCTCTGGATGAGCTGGATGAGCTCTGGATGAGCTGGATGAGCTCTGGATGAGCTGGATGAGCTCTGGATGAGCTGGATGAGCTCTGGATGAGCTGGATGAGCTCTGGATGAGCTGGATGAGCTCTGGATGAGCTGGATGAGCTCTGGATGAGCTGGATGAGCTCTGGATGAGCTGGATGAGCTCTGGATGAGCTGGATGAGCTCTGGATGAGCTCTGGATGAGCTGGATGAGCTCTGGATGAGCAATTCGATTCTTGAAGATGAATTTTACTTGAAACTGGCAAATTTCATCGGTTAATCTCAAAGTTAACTTCAAAGAATTATCCAAATGCTACTATTAAAGCTTAAATCTATCATAAAAAGCGAGAAAATCGATTTCAGTTTGAAAATGAACTAGATCGAGCTTGAATAATGTTACTTGGTTGTTTTGAGCGCATCTTTCAAGCCTTTAATAAAAACCTCAAAAGCATTCTACAATTTGTATAAAGCTATCCTTTGTAGAAAATTATCGCAATTTTCATATTAAGACGGAATTAAGCCGGTTCACGAAGCTAGAGCCAAGCTATAGCCCCAAAACTGTGAGGCGATAGTTTGCGGCCACGTTGTAGAATCCAGGAGCCAGGTCCAGGCTTCTGGCTGATCTGTAAACCAGTTTCAGGCTCCTGGATGATCTGTAAGCCGGGTTCAGGCTGATCTGTAAGTCAGGTTCAGGCTTTTGGTTGATCTATAAGCCAGGTTCAAGCTTCTGGCTGATCTATAAGCCAGGTTCAGGCTTCTGGCTGATCTGTAAACCAGGATCAGACCAGCAAGTCACTAAGCTAGGTCCAGGTTCGGGCCTGGCTTCTGATCAAGTACTTTTTCTGCACTAGGCCAGGCCAGTACCTGGTTCTTGGTTTGACTCAATTCTGGAAGAGTTCTGCTATTAGTTCTGCATAATTTTGGTGTCATCCCTGATTTCTAACTGTCCCATATGCCTTTTTGAGACAATTTCTAACCCGGAAACCCTTTTTCTTATTGTTAGAGGAAATTGTTTAGCCGAATTGTTTTGTTTTGTCGAATCCCTTTCCCAAACCCACTTGCTTCTCCACCATTTCGTCTTTTTCATCTCGATAATCCCCCTTTTTGCGTAAAGGAGAATTTGACGAGAGATTCGATCGGTCCACTCAGATTCTAGAAATGTTTGACTTCTAGCTTGAATTCTAGCTAGCCCAACTGTTAGCTATGTTCTTTTAAGTGTACTTTGTGCTGTCTGCAAACGCATTTCTTTCTGGAGCACAGATATAAGCTCAAAGTACATTAAATCGTACATTAAAGCACATTAAAGTACATTAAAGTACATTAAAGTACATTAAATCGATTATCTAATCGAAAAGCGATAGCGAAAGCGACCAACTCTTCTGCAGTGCAATCCCATAACCCTTTGACCCAAGCACGCCGCCGATTTGCGTGAGATTGCAATTCTGTTGCACTTCGTACTCCAACGACGTCGATTCCATGAGATATGCATAATTTTCTCTATAGAATACTTGTAGAAATCGAATTTTTATATTGGATTATCTCACCTTATTCCCCTGAGCACTCCTTGTGTGTTATCTTTGACGAAAACATCCCGATCCTTCATGTACTCCCACATGCGAACGTGAGAGCCGATCCGGGACTCCTAGATATTGGGTTCATGGAAAAGTCTTTTCCGATTTTTTGGGAGAGTACCTTAAATTTGTCGAATTTAGACGTTTTATAGCTCATCCTAAAGCTGAATTCAAGACGGATCGATTGGTAAAAAGCGTTTTGAGATATCTCTTTTCTAAAAGCTTTTACAGCTATTTTAGTAAAGGGCGGCAGAGCCAAAAAATGGCTGTTTTCACGTTTCGTTAGTTTTCCGTGCAGAAACCTAGGCTAAAAACATGCGTTTCGTGATCAGCGTCAAAAATAACCCCTAGAAACGCATTTTCAGAATCTTAGCAAAAAATTTTTGAAAAATATTGTCACCGGTGGAAGTCGAACCAGCGACCCTCAGATCAATAGCCTTTTCGCCGCTTTTCGCGATTTTCCTTCGTTTTTCTCGTTTCTTCGTTCTTGTACTATCGAGAAGTGAGAAATTTCCTTCACGAAATCGTTGAAACCAATTCCGGATAGTTCGTTCGGTCGCGAAATCGGGTCCATAAACGTTAGTAATCTCTCGATGAGCCTGTGCGGCATTGAGTTTTCGGTTGAATGCATACAAAAACAGGTGTCGCTGGTGCTCCTCCGAATCGGAGGAGCACTAGCTCCCAACTTGACACGAAATTCCTGAAAAAAGCCTTCTAACAACATCAAAAAAATGATAAAACAAAAAAAAACGAGAAAAACGAAGTAAGATTGCGAAAAGCGGCGAAAAGGCTATTGATCTGAGGGTCGCTGGTTCGACTTCCACCGGTGACAATATTTTTCAAAAATTTTTTGCTAAGATTCTGAAAATGCGTGTCTAGGGGTTATTTTTGACGCTGATCACGAAACACATGTTTTTAGCCTAGGTTTCTGCACGGAAAACTAACGAAACGTGAAAACAGCCACTTTTTGGCGCTGCCGCCCTTTACTAAAATAGCTGTAAAAACTTTTAGAAAAGAGATATCTCAAAACGCTTTTTACCAATCGATCCGTCTTGAATTCAGCTTTAGGATGAGCTATAAAACGTCTAAATTCGACAAATTTAAGGTACTCTCCCAAAAAATCGGAAAGGACTTTTTCACCAACCCAATAGATAACATTGGTCCTTAGGCTTAGAAATTGCTTCAAAAACTAGAGCCTGACCAAATCTAGACTTGTTAGGTGGCAATGATGCTACAATGTTGAAGCTTGAACCCTATCCTAGATCTAGTGAATCATTATTCATTATCATTACTCGTTTTTGATTTTTACTAATCGGTTTTTACCAACCAAAACGGTTTTTACCAATCGATCCGTCTTGAATTCAGCTTTAGGATGAGCTATAAAACGTCTAAATTCGACAAATTTAAGGTACTCTCCCAAAAAATCGGAAAGAACCTTTCCACCAACCCAATATATTGTGTCCTAGATTCTACAGTGTCCCAAGATTATCCAGACAAATTTCAATTTCAGTTTTTCTTGTTAATAGTTAATGAAATGCAAATATTGTTCTTTTTTTAGGTATTTTGAGACCTGTGCTTAAAAAAGTCTTCTTCGCTTCGCAAAAAAAAATTTCGCGAAGTCTTCAGAATCAAGGGGAAAAGTGATGGAGATCTTTCGCCTTTTGCAAGAGCAAAAATAATTGATATGAGTATGCGTCATCAAGGAGATTAGCTTTTAAATAGCCTTGACCTTAACCGCTCGATTACTCTATCTGGTCCATTTTGGAGTCAAAAGCTTGCGCTAAGGCACACAAATAGTCTTATCCGGTCTCTGAAGAAAGCTTGAGATGAAATTCCTGAGTGTCAAACCGTTGACGCCTTTTCAAAGCGATTGAGGCAATGTATTGCGATAAATAGTTGTCATTTCGAACAAAAATTGACTTTGGCTTTGGTTTGGCTTTGGTTTGGCTTTGGTTTGGCTTTGGTTTGGCTTTGGTTTGGCTTTGGTTTGGCTTTGGTTTGGCTTTGGTTTGGCTTTGGTTTGGCTTTGGTTTGGCTTTGGTTTGGCTTTGGTTTGGCTTTGGTTTGGCTTTGTCCTTCTTCGGAGCAATAGTCGAGTTATATGTTACTTTGAAATTTGTCCGGATAGTTTTGGGACAACCTGTAGATCAGAAATATCTGGATCTGTTTAGAAATTCATCTTCAAATGATTATCTAGTAACCTGGAAGAATTGCATCGTACTGCCGCCCTTGATCGTCCCGTAGGCGATCGTCGACTGATTGGCGAGATCGTCGAGGTTCTGAAGGATCAAAGTACTGGATTAGGGCTGTACTAACTCCAGTTTCTAGTTTTAGGTCAGCCAGGTCAACCCAAACAATAAGACTCGGCCAAAAGCCAAGTCCAGCTTCATATTGTACGTGTACTAGGTGTACTACTGTGCTAACGAAGTCCTAGTTTTATAGGAAAGACTAGGCCAAGTCAGGCTTAAATCCATCAGAAGCTAAGTCTGATTCTCCAGGCCGTGAATCGAGCTGGAATAACATGGACCAGCTGGTTCAAAGATTTTTGAACCAGCTGGTCCATATTATTCCAGCTAGGTTAGACCTGGCTTCTGATCTTCCCTGGCGGCATTGCTGTAGCCTGGAGCTTTACTATTGTAGGCCAAAGCTGCAACACCAAGCCAGACATACAGCGAAGCTAGGCCAGAACCTGGCCTCTGACTTGATCCTGATCTTGCGCAGTAAAGATTAGATAGTTCAGACAATAGAGACTTTGTAGCTGATCTGGCTTAGGCCTTTTATTTGTTTTGAACTGACCTCGAAAAACTAATCTAACAGTATGCAAATCTAACAGTAATCAAACTAATATGCATATTTAAATAATCTACTTTATAAAATCCCCACTTTTATCGGGATGAACGGCCGGGAGACGGTCAAGACGGCGGCCAGATTCGCGGTGTAAGCCGAAATGATCACCAGAGTGAACACCCACCAGGTACCTTAAAAAGGCTTTAGATATACAAAAAATAGTATAGATATGTAAACTATATAGATAGTTAGGCTGAAATAAATTGTTAACTAAAGATTTTGATTCAATTTAATGTTTGTAAAAGAAACCTAGTAGTACACCGGCTCTGGCTATGGAAGTACGACACGAAAAAGATCGAAAAAGATCGAAAACGAGATCTTATTTACGTTTTCTACAGTACTAAGGTATTTTCTAGTTATATTTTACATATCTAGCTTCATTTTATCCATCTGAATGCTTGTAATTGTTGTAAATCTAGATATCTAGACAGATCTAACCTCCAAGTAGTCGAGTGGAAACGGCTCGCGGCCCAAAATCGCATCCACCCTTCAGCATCGTGCTCGTCACATACCTGATATTAGAAATTTGGATAATAGCTAGATTTCTCCATTATTAGATTTCTCCATTATTATTTTAATCTAATCTTTAGAAAATTATCCAGATATTTTTACCATAAAGTGTTCCAAAAGGAGTAGTTGTTGCTGAGCTGCACCGGCTCTGAATCGGCGTTGAAAGTGGCCCCCGGGTGGGGTTGATGGGCTAAAGAATTTTAGTTTACGGCTTTGCATAGTATTTAGATTAGATTAAGAATTTATATTAGATACTTTTATTATTATCTACATTTAGATACCTGTACAACAAGAGAAATTCAAATTCCATTCATATGGAGTGATCCGCGCCACGACGAACATCCCGACGGTGACCCCAGCTAAGAGATCAGATATTAAAAAGATGAGATACTGTAAGTCTGCGAAAGTACTGTAAGTCTGTAAAAGGACTAAGGCTGTGAAAGTACTGTAAGTCTGTAAAAGTACTTTAAGGCTGTGAAAGTACTGTAAGTCTGCAAAAGTACTTTATGGCTGTGAAAGTACTGTAAGGCTGTGAAAGTACTTTAAGGCTGTGAAAGTACTTTATGGCTGTGAAAGTACTGTATGGCTGTGAAAGTACTATAAGTCTGTGGGATACTGTCAGAATGTAAACTGTAGACGAGCAATGGTATTGGCTATAGCTTTGGCTTTGGCTTAGGCTTTAGCTTAAGTCCAGGCTTTAGATTTGGCTTAGGCTTTAGCTTAGGCTTTAGCTTAGGCTTTAGCTTAGGCTTTAGCTTTGGCTATAGCTTTGGCTATAGCTTTGGCTTTGGCTTTAGCTTTGACTTTAGCTTTGGCTTTAGCTTTGGCTTTAGCTTTGGCTTTAGCTTTAGCAATGGCTTTAGATATGGATACACCTCTGGCATTCTGTAAGCCTACTTTTGTAAGTCTTCTTCTACATTCTATAGCCTACTTCTACTATTCTGTAAGACTTTAAAGCTTACTAAAGTAAAGCCAACGTTTTTGTTTCTTTTTAAAAAAGATAAAAAGAATATAATTGTAAGATTTATCATTTACATTTACTCTTTTGATTTTTAAATTGCATAAAAAGAAGATATTCAGCTGTAAATTTGTATCCTGTGGTTTTCGGGATCGGGGAATTGATTGTAAGGTAAAATGTAAAAGTAAAATGTAAAAGTAACATGCAAAAGTTGCACTTTATCAGTGCTTTTCATATTGCTTTCATATTGCTTTCATATTGTGATAAACGAAATTGTGAAATCGGTGTTTTAACCCAAGCTCAGGCTTAGATCTGATTAATCTCTGGTAACTGATTTTTCTAAGTTTAAATTATCAGATAAATTTGAAGGTTTATAGTTTATAAAAGTTAATCTACCAATAGCTGTTAATATGGCCATCCAAATCTGCCAGGACAACGGATTGAGAAACGAGAAAAGATCCGGTTGTTGATCGTCGGGCACCTAGATGATTTTTGAATAAATATGAGTTTTTATTTTGTAAACTTATAGTTTCAGAACATATCAGTACTTGCCTAACATTACAAAAACTTAAAAAAACCTAGCAAATCAACTTAAATAACTAAATAACTAAATAACTAAATAACTAAATAGCTTAAATAACTTAAATAACTTAAATAACTTAACTTAAGTAACTTACCGTAAATACTGTAATATTGGCTGTCCAGTTATGAATGCGCGTTTTTACTATTTTGTAAATTTCTCAGGATATCGAACAGATGTATCTGAGTGTTATATATCATTCGAGAGCTGAAGATCTCCTCTACATTTTGGAATAAAAATGTCTTTGAATTCATTCAACTTTTTGGGAAATTGACTGCACAAAGGGAGAGGTCTTTTTCGAAAAAACTCATTCCAGCTTAGCTATTCCTCAAGTTTTATGGTGTAAAATAACCGCCCAGAAAAGAAAAGTAAAGATGCTCTGAAATTGTTATATTTAAAAAAAGGTTGTATTGATATATCTATTGGCCAAACATCAAACGGTTAACTCAATTTGAGCGGAGCCAAAACTTGATCCAAAGGCACCTCGGCTCTGAGTCCCGAGAGCTGGCTCTGAGTCCCGAGAGCTGGCTCTGAGTCCCGAGAGCTGGCTCTGAGTCCCGAGAGCTGGCTCTGAGTCCCGAGAGCTGGCTCTGAGTCCCGAGAGCTGGCTCTGAGTCCCGAGAGCTGGCTCTGAGTCCCGAGAGCTGGCTCTGAGTCCCGAGAGCTGGCTCTGAGTCCCGAGAGCTGGCTCTGAGTCCCGAGAGCTGGCTCTGAGTCCCGAGAGCTGGCTCTGAGTCCCGAGAGCTGGCTCTGAGTCCCGAGAGCTGGCTCTGAGTCCCGAGAGCTGGCTCTGAGTCCCGAGAGCTGGCTCTGAGTCCCGAGAGCTGGCTCTGAGTCCCGAGAGCTGGCTCTGAGTCCCGAGAGCTGGCTCTGAGTCCCGAGAGCTGGCTCTGAGTCCCGAGAGCTGGCTCTGAGTCCTGAGAGCTGGCTCTGAGTCCCGAGAGCTGGCTCTGAGTCCCGAAAGCTGGCTCTGAGTCCCGAGAGCTGGTTCTGAGTCCCGAGAGCTGGCTCTGAGTCCCGAGAGCCAAAACTTGATCCATTTTTTGGCCACCTCTTCTTCTGTGCAGTCAATTTGCCCAAAAGCTGGCAAATTCAAAAACTTTTTATTCCAAAATGTAGAGATCTTCAGTTCTCGAATGATATATAACACTCATATACATCTCTTCGATATCTTGAGAAATTTACAAAATAGTAAAAAACGCGCATTCATAACTGGACAACCCAATAGTACCCCACCCCCCTCGTACAGTCGCGTAGTCGCAAAAGTCTTTTAGTATTTCATTTTTTTCAAAGCGCTCGTACTTTCAAAAAATGCGTCTTTGGTATCAAAAAATAGCTGAAATTCAGGGCTATTTTTTGAAATCAAAACGAACATTGTAGCATAAACCAGTGTCGAGAAAAACGCGTCCAAAGCTAGACTACGCAACACTCCGCACCGTCATTATGGGGGTGGGCTACTATTACAGTATTTACGGTAAGTATTTAAGTAAACCTTAAATAAAATCGATATCCCGAGCGATAGGAAGGGTTTCGTGAAGTCAACGACTTCAGCTCTCTTGAAATTGACGGTGAGTGGAGCGACGGCCATTTCAGCTTCCTAAATGATGATTAGTATCTACTCAAAGGCCACCATTAGATCCGCCTTGAAATTCTGAGTCAATAAAGTACCACTTCGATTCTCCGAAGGCTTAAAATAAGTTGAAAAAATTTCGATTTTCCACCGGTATCAATGAAAAGTCAAATTCTAGACTGCCAATCGGTTGGAAACTCTCAGAAATGAAGAAGAGCTCATGAAAGAGCTAAAAATTATGTTTCCTCGAGTTTTAGACCGATCGGCAGTCTAGAATTTGACTTTTCATTGGTACCGGTACTGATCAGTCAGTACTGACTTTGACTGACTGAGTGACCAACTTTGAGCTCAAGTTCCTCGGTGATCCATGGCACTTTTGCTCCATCCCAATGGTACCAAAAGATATCCAAAGACATCAGCTATCTTTTTTTTAAAAAGTAACCCGATTCGAGCACTTTTGCTGAACAAACTATTCAAAACCTGGAATTTCGAATCTTAAGAAAATCAGATTTTTGCCCAGATCAGATAAGATCAAAATTTTGTTTAGCAAAAGTGCTCGAATCGGGCTACTTTTTTAAAGATAGCTGCTGCCTTTGCGCATCTTTTGATACCATTAGGATGAGGCAAAAGTACCAAGGATCACCGAGGAATTTGAGCTCAAATTTCCAGAGGTAACAGTCGACTTCTCCAGAGGTGACAGTCGACTTTTCCAGAGGCCTTTTCCGTACTTCAATATCAGACCGTGCGGTTGAGCTGGTATTGGCCAAGATACTAACCTATTGACTGAACTATTGACTGATTGAACTTCTGAAGAGTACGGTAGTTTCTTAAGTGCTGAAAGGGCAGGGTTCTTTATTTTACTGTACTATGGTAGTAAGCCATCCGAATAGAATTCTACAGCCTGATAGAACCTAGCTGCCCTACGCCTATACCATTCACCAAATTGAGTGCACCAGAAAGAATACATTGACAGATTCGAGCATAAAAGTACACAGCTGAATCGCTTACCCCTCTCAAAATCTCGCCAATCATCCCATCCCAGCTTCCGTTCCCGTGCACATCGTTACCATATGCCCCATCTTTCACCAAATGCACCGAATAGGTGAAACCTGTAAATTTGTAAAAACCACTTATTGGCTGAGGCTTGCAATATTTTAGTTTTTGGAAAGATATGTGAGCGCTCGTTTCATTCCTATCACTTTAATCTAAAAGTACCCAAATCTTTCGACAACTCGGCCAGTAAATCGATGCAGAAACCCTCGAATTTCGAGTTTGCGTCCAGTTCAAAATGGTTCTTCTTCAGCATCACATACGGGCGTTCCTGGGAATGAGAAATTTGTATATTTTGATCCCCTATATTTTGATCCCCCTAGAGCTAGATACCGTAAGCCAAGCCTAGACTTACGTAAGCCAAGCCTAGAATTACGCAAGCCAAGCCTAGACTTACGTAAGTTAAGCCTTTAAGACTTACCATTATGGTGGTCACCCGGAAATGCGGCTTCAACTCGTCGGAGACCTGCAATGGAAAGTTTTTACTGGACAGAACCTGAGCTGAGCCTAGCTTTTGGATTAGGGACGGCCGGCTTACAGTTCCTTGGATCCGTCCTTGGATTTGTCCTGGACCTGACTTGCATTCTTGGATGTGATCAGGATCTTGGATTCTTGGATGTGATCTTGTCTGACTTCTAGACCGGCCCGATCTAGTTTACAGAAGAATATATATCTATCTGGCTCAAGCCTAGCCTGGTTTAGTTACACCCTAACCTGAGCCCAACCTAGCTTGCAAGCCGGTCAGAAGCCTGAACCTAGCCCAAGCTTACCTTCTGTACTTAACTGGTTTGACCTGGCTTGGCTTGTCTTATAAAGGTTTTCCCTGAACCTGGCCTGAAACTATTACCACTTCAATACTGAACTGACTTGCATGCCTGGATCTAGCTTCTGGTCTGGCCATGGTCTACTTCTGGCCTACCATGGCCTACTTCTGGCCTACCATGGCCTACTCTGGATCCTAGAATCTGGGTACTGTACCAGTTTTGAGCCGTTTTTAATCTACTCACTGATACTAATTTCTATGCTTAGCATAAAGTTAAAGCCTTATATATGGCTTAGACATTTCAGCTGAAATAGGGTGACATGGCTGACATGGCTGAAATAGATATTTCAGCTATTTTCCCAGATTCTTTTTCATACTTGAACATTTTTCTGCAGCTGAGCCCTCGAGTCGCCGGTCATGTTCACGTGAACGTCCGTTTTCGGTTCCCAGAAACCGATCTGAATATAATATAGCGATAAAATAGCGATAAAACACAAATCCAACTACACCTCCATCCAACTTACATCATCTAATCGTCCGCTGTACCCAAGCAGATGAATTCTCATCGAGAAATTGCTCTTCATCGGATGCCCAACTCGGTGTAAATCACCAGAAATCCCGACCACTTTCTAAAGCTTGATTAAAAGCTTAAATCTTTTTAAGAAGTAGCCGGTGTACGGTTGTTTTAAAACTTCTACTTGTCTATTATCTATGCCCAAACATACATTATTTAAAACGGCATCGATAAGCGTTCTCCCGTACTGATATTTTCGTGCCTCACGGCCTGGCTTTCGACATGTCGTTTGTGGACTGAAATGTGTTTAAGTGCAAAGAATCGAATAATCGAATAATCCAATGGATCATTTGATAGGATGCCGAATTTGTAGCAAAAATATAGCCAAAATTGGGGCAGAAATTGATCCCAAAAATTTGGGCATAGTGACGTCGAGAAAGCGGGAAAGCTCACAAGGGAAGTGCATGAACTTAAGGTACTTTTTTGGATCAAAACTCAGACCATTCGATGCAGAATTTCACGCTAATTCCGAGTCTGCTTTCCTTTTTTGCAAATTTTAGCAAATTCTCTATAAAAAGTTACAAACATTTAAAATATGTAACCAAAAATCAAGTTTTCTTGGCCGAAATGGAATTCACAAGGCTTTTCAATGGCAGCCAAATTTAGACAAACCAATTTACATTTGGCTGGCACTAAAGAAGCCTTATGGGGGAATTTCGGCCAAGAAAACTTCATTTTTTGGCTACAAATTTTAAATGTTTGTAACTTTTGATAAAGAGCAATTTTGCAAAAAAGGAAAGTAGATTCGGAATCGGTGTGAAATTCTGCATCCAATCTGCACCCAATTCTGCACGTTCTCGCTTCCCTTTGCAGTCGTTGACCGCTCCTTCGGATTACGTATCCCAAAAGGAAACAGCTATCTACCACGGCCGTGTACCAGGTGAAGAGCGATTACGTGGTCGCATAAAGAACACCTCGCCAGTCATTTACACAGGGACTTCTCTTTTGTTTGTTGATGACACAAAAAGAAGATATTCAGCTGTAAATTTGTACCCGGGGGTTTTCGGGATCGGACAGTCAATTAAAGCCGTTCATTTTCTTGAGTCTACAACTTGGAACTCGGATTTATTGGTTTAAACTTCTAGAGAAACTCGGAAACTTATTAGCATATTTTGGAGAAGAGATTTGCAACTTTCAAATGATAATTCAAATGAGCTATAATAATCATAGCTCTATTCCATGCAAGGAGACGATTTTATGCAAGTAGACGACTTCAATTGATCTTACTGTGGCAAAATAAACTCACATATCGTGAACGAGTTGCGATTGCGAGTGCACAACATCAGAGAAAACGCTTGCAAACGCGTAGATCGAGTCGAACGTGAAAATGGCTTCTGTCTAAAAATTGCAGGAGTACGGTGGCCTTTGTCACATTTGAAAAAATCAAACCAATTTCAAATTTCGACTAAAGCCGGTGCGGGTGTTCCAATTCTCAGCAATATGGTGTTTGAAATGGGAAAAGTTGAAGACGTGGGCTTTCTCTTTTAGAAAGATTGGATCCACCGGGTACGGGGAAATGTAACGAGCGTGATTGTAGCGGAATAACTCCATGTCCATTGTTGAAAGTTCCTGAAAAGACATAACTTTTGCCAGTCATCGCTTCATGGATTTGTTCTTCGAAGTGTACTTTGTACTCAACGCACTTTTCTCAGCGTAAACGCACTTCTCTGGCGCACTAAAGTCTCCACTTTAGGCGTTGTCACTAGAAAACTAAAGGATTAAGTGCACTAGGAGAGGTGCGTTTATAGAGTTGCTCACAAAGTACACCAAGAAGAACAATTGTACAAGTTACAAGTACAATTGTGCAAGTTCTCGACAGTAAAAGTAGGCTTCTGGCAAACTAAATTACATATTAAGCCCAACAAAACATTCAATTAAGGTAACTTTTAGAAATAACTAGCTTTTCTTTAGCTTTGGCTTTAGCTTTGGCTTAGGCTCAGGCTCTAGCTTTAGCTTAGGCTCAGGCTCCGGCTTAGGCTTTAGCTTTGGCTTTAGCTTTGGCTTTTCTTTAGCTTTTCTTTAGCTTTAGCTTTCTTTTTCTTTAACTTTTCTAAAAAATTTTACAACTTACCATCGAAGTCAATAAAAACCAATGCTTCAACTCGATCAAACCCATTTGAAGACCCTGAAATGATTATCAAAACATTTTAACATAGATTATTATGACTTAACATAGATTATAATGGTAAATAAAGTTTACTTTAATAAAAAAAGAAGGAGTTCTCAAGAAAAAGTAGATTTCCGGAGTGGGGATTGAACCCTCGACCTTTCCGGGCAATGGTTTACTTTTCTGTCAATTATTCTAACCACTGAGCTATCCAGTACCTTAACTTACCAAGAGAAAGAGGGAAAGACGAGGGGGGAGACAAAAAAAGAAAGAAAAAAAGCAACGTTTTGAAATGAAACTAAGTCTGGCTCACTTACAGCTAATAAGAAATTGTACGCGTGTTCGGGGTTGAGATCGAGAAGAATCCGGCTGAACTCCGAGCAATCTTTTCGTTGATAGAAACTGCACTCCTCCAATTCTTTTACCTAAAAAAGTTGTCTAGCCTTAGTCCATTATCAAATGACCAGCTACACGGCTAAAATCGCTACGGACATACAGACAGACAGACAGACAGACAGACGGACAAACAGACGGACAGACAGACAGACAGACAGACAGACAGACGGACAGACAGACAGACAGACAGACGGACAGACAGACGGACAGACAGACAGACAGACAGACAGACAGACAGACGGACGTCATTATTATCTTGAAAATCAATTCCATCAAAAATTTCAGCCAACTCGTCACTCACATCTCTCGCTGCTCTCATGTAGTCCTTGTTCTGAATTTTCACCAAACGAAAGCGAATCGACGAATAGGCATCGTCCTCCAATAATGGCTCGATTCGACGAATTCCTGGATCAATTTTTTTTATGCAAAGAACTCAATGTGTACTTTGTGCTCAAGCCCGTAAACGCCACCCTTCTAGCCCATTGAATTCTTCAATTTCTTGCGACAAAACCGTTGCTTCAAGAAATCGAGAATTCAGTGCACCAACAAAGGTGTGTTTACAACTTTGAGCTCGCAGTAAGAAGCTATTGGACTTTCATGTGGATAAACTACAGTAATCTTTCTCTTTAAAGTTTTGTGCTATGTAAACTCATTCCCTCTGGCGCACAGATTCATTTTTCTTGCAGCAATGTTTTCATGTCAATGGCTTGTCACAAGAACATCAAAGAATTCAGTGTACCAGATAAAGTGCTTATAAAGTTGAGCACAAAGTACACTAGTTGATTGTTACATTGTTACTGGTCAGACTCAGGCTCAGGCTCAGACTCAGGCTCAGGCTCAGGCTCAGGCTCAGACTCAGGCTCAGGCTCAGGCTCAGGCTCAGACTCAGGCTCAGGCTCACTACTAGTTGTTCACCACTTTATTCAACCAACTTTCATTTTCTTCATAAACGATCGTAATCCGATTCCATCTCCAATGCCGAAACAGATCTACGATCGACTAAAAAGGCGCCTTTTAAATGATTCATTTGGTTTAGTGACCTCAAAAAGTTGAGCTTTCGGGAAAAACTCGATCCGAACATCGGTGTTGGCGTTTAGACCAAGATCATCGACAGCGGTGAGAAGTGGGATGTCCATCTAGAGAAGTTTTAAGTACATTGGGATCAAAATTGTGAATTTTGTGCAAATTTATATGTCGTAGCCGATTATGAATGAGTGGCGCGTCCATCTAGGCGCGTCCATCTAGGCGCGTCCATCTAGGCGCGTCCATCTAGGCGCGTCCATCTAGGCGCGTCCATCTAGGCGCGTCCATCTAGGCGCGTCCATCTAGTGTCAACCATCTAGTGTCAACCATCTAGTGTCAACCATCTAGTGTCAACCATCTAGTGTCAACCATCTAGTGTCAACCATCTAGTGTCAACCATCTAGTGTCAACCATCTAGTGTCAACCATCTAGTGTCAACACATCTAGTGCCAACCATCTAGGGTCAACCATCTAGTGTCATCAACCATCTAGTGTCAACCATCTAGTGGCAACCATCTAGTGTCAACCATCTAGGGTTCAACCATCTAGTGTCAACCATCTAGTGTCAACCATCTAGTGTCATCAACATCTAGGGGCAACCATCTAGTGGCAACCATCTAGTGTCAACACATCTAGTGTCAACCATCTAGTGTCAACCATCTAGTGTCAACCATCTAGTGTCAACCATCTAGTGTCAACCATCTAGTGTCAACCATCTAGTGTCAACCATCTAGTGTCAACCATCTAGTGTCAACCAAGAAAAACTCGTTGTTAGGCTGGTTTATACAATGCTTATATAATACAATGTTTTATGATACAATGCTATTTGCTGTTATTTAGATGTTTATATTTTTAAAGTTTTCAAAACCTGTGCCGCCAATCGCTCCAATTGAGCGTTAAGCATCGGATGGGAAGAGCCGATCAGAGCTACCACGTGATCTTTCTCAAATAGGGAACAGGCTGAACAAATTGTGTACAATGTAAATCGTTGTATTGTTGTTGATGTTGATTGTTGATAAAATTCAAATCTGGTCTACTAAAATCACCTTTTAAAACAGCCTCATAGTGATCGAGCACGTCGATGTAGTCAATTACGAAATCAACCTAGAAAATCTGATAAATTATGAGGATCTATTATTAATAGATTTGAAAAGACATTGATCTGCTCCATTGATTCATTGATCTATTGATAATGATCCATAGCACAGGGTTGAGCAGGATTACTGGTGCGCCAAGAAAAGCGCTTGCTAGTGACCGGTTTCTTATTTTTCTGCTCGTTTCTCGTTTTTAATGTTTTTTAATGTATTATAATTGTATTGTATACAATTATATTGTATTATATTTTGATTTTAGAAATGATGTCGACTAATCCGCTTCGGGTTCCTTTCCGTTATAAATCCGCAAAAATAACCCGCCGATCATTTCCGTTATACATCCGAAAAATTTGCATTCCGCCAAATTTGCCTCCTTCCATGAAAATGAACAAGGAAAACCACAGAAAATTCATTCTTTTGCTATTTCCTGACAGCGCGGTGGGTTCATTTTTTGCCTACCGACTACCGAGGCCGATGCAATCTATCGCTCAATAGGAAGCTATCGCTCAATAGGAAGCTATCGCTCAATAGGAAGCTATCGCTCAATAGGAAGCTATCGCTCAATAGGAAGCTATCGCTCAATAGGAAGCTATCGCTCAATAGGAAGCTATCGCTCAATAGGAAGCTATCGCTCAATAGGAAGCTATCGCTCAATAGGAAGCTATCGCTCAATAGGAAGCTATCGCTCAATAGGAAGCTATCGCTCAATAGGAAGCTATCGCTCAATAGGAAGCTATCGCTCAATAGGAAGCTATCGCTCAATAGGAAGCTATCGCTCAATAGGAAGCTATCGCTCAATAGGAAGCTATCGCTCAATAGGAAGCTATCGCTCAATAGGAAGCTATCGCTCAATAGGAAGCTATCGCTCAATAGGAAGCTATCGCTCAATAGGAAGCTATCGCTCAATAGGAAGCTATCGCTCAATAGGAAGCTATCGCTCAATCAGAATCCCCGATGGAGATGTGAAAAAACGTCATGCCGGACAGCGATCGGCCTGCATGTTAACTTATGGATGGAGGGCACCAAAATTCCGTTAGTCACAATCTTATCCATCTATGGATGGACTCAACAGTGGACCGCGCCGAGCGGAAAAATTGGAGGACCCAATCGAATCGTCGAGGTGGACGAGTCTCTCTTCTCGAAGCGAAAGACGAATGTGGGCCGCATCTTATTTTTTATATTCAATATTTTCTTGATTATTTATTTTTGATTTTGATTAAATTTTTTGATTTTGATTAAATTGATTTTGATTTTTGATTATTAAATGATCAGGGGTTATTTTTCCGGATGCATAACGGAAAGGAACCCCGATTCGTAACGCAATCATCAAGTTACATCAGGATGGAAAGGTGACAAAGGAGTGAGAGTCGGAATTTCGGAATTTCGGAATTAGTCAGAATTTCGGAATTAGTCGGAATTTCTCAGCGAACTGTCCAAAACACGATCAAACGATTCAGACAACTCGGAAGTAACAAGGATCATATTGGTCGAGGTAGAAAAGGCACGACAACTTGGTGGTGGTGGTGGTGGAAAAGGTGAGAAAGCTAATCAAGCGATCAACCAGACGCTCAATGAATAAAATGGCCATGGAACTTGGAATCAGTCGACGTTCAGTGGGAAGAATTGTAAAAAGAGAAGTTGAATATGTACGCATACAAAAGACCTTCTCACCTTCTCAAAAGACAAAAAAATCTCCTCACCTGTCCATAAATTGCCCTCTGATTGAGCCACTCAACTGCGTACTGTATCGCGGCCGCAATGTGCGCGTCCTCCTTTTCGCGTAGAATGGCGCCTAAAATATTTTGTTGATATGAAAATCCAAAAAAAAATCTCAAATATTAGAAAATTCAGTCTGTTAAGTCTATTGCATCTATACAGTATCTCGAATAATAGTCTAACTTAAAGCTACAGTAAGACTACAGTAGATTTAGGCTTGCCTTTTAGCGTTTACCGTTATCTTTTAGCAAGAAACTTTGCTAGGCTTGCTTTCCGGTCAAAGTTAGTGCAGAATAGAAAATGGATGAAGGTAGAAAATCCAAAAAATCTCAAACATTAGAAGATTCAGTTTGTCTGTGATTTCTATTCGGCGCTAATGTTGGGGAGTGGAACAAATTCGACCTTTTTTGCGCACTCAAACATTTGCGCACCCGGCCCATTAGCGCATCTTTTTTCGCGTTTTTAAAAAAGCTCTAAAAAGCTAATATTAACCAAGTTCTATTCGAAAAGTTGTTTTTCTGGGTGATTTTAGGGCGTAGAATCCGAATTTTGACATATCAAAGCTTGTGGAAGCAAACGGACGGAATTATCCATATCCAATTCGACAATTTTCTGTAACTTGACCTACCTCTTTACCTTTCAAATTGGTTCCACAAGCGCTTTGATATGTCAAAATTTGGATTCTATGCCTTAAAATTACCCGAAAAAATCACTTTTCGAATAGAAATTGGTTAATATTAGCTTTTTAGAGCTTTTTTTTAAAACGCGAAAAAAGGTGCGCTAATGGGCATTCATCAAAATTACCTGCTATTCTCAAGTAAATTTTTATGACTCAAAAAAACGGATTTGTTTTTCCAGCTTAATTTATTTATAAAGAAACCAGCTTAATTTATTTAGAAAGATTTTAAAAACTATAAATTTCAGCTTTTCTTGAAAATTTCAAAGCTCTCTCCGCGACTTCATCAATTTTTAATTTTGATCTTCAGAATTTTCGGCTTCTAAGAGAATTCCTTGGAGAACATGTCAAATTTTCATCTCCAAAAAGGAAATAACCAAAAAAATTTGCATTCCTAGATAAGAATTAGATTTGTATGCATTGAAAATGACATGTTCTCCAAGGAATTCTCGATTTTGTCTTAAACATACCAATTTTGAAAGCATCGATCACCGAGAGATTGCTCAAAATCAATCCGAAAATGAGTAAAGATCGCATTTTTAGAATTTTTTCGAGGGAATCACATTTCTTTCTGAAATTCTCGAGAAATAAAAATTGTTTTGAAGAGCCTGGGAAAATTGGCAAAAAGAAGTGAATGATTGAACGTTGAACAGAAAAAGAACAAGGTGTAGATAATTGCGCTCAAATCTGTAAACGCAACCTATGTGGCACACTGAATTCTTCATTTTTCTTAGGAACTTTAACCGTTGCAAGCTAGGCTAAACCAATGAGCAATGTACCAAGTTTTCAGATCATTTACAAACCAATATCAAGCTCTACAGCCACTTTGCTAGACTTTCAAAGGTTATAGAGTTGTTCAAAAAGACACTTTCTGAGTCAAGCAAGTCTAGGGTGAATCCAAGACTTGCTCCACCAATACAAAATCTTGCAAAAATTGCTAAACAAACGGGTTCTTCTTTGACGGCCACTTTGCTATACTTTTGGGAAGCAGGCTTGTTCCAAAAAAAAAATTCCGGGTCAGACCAGAAGCCATGCACTGGGCTGGCTTTACTAAGAATCTTTTCGGTTGAGTACTAAGTCTTTCGCCCAAATTCATTTTCTAATTGAATAAGTCTCAAGCTACCAAATTAAATACGGTTTTTTCATCAGATAGCCCAATCATTTTTCTTGCAAATGACTTTTGAGAGTTTCTGAAAAGCTTTGTTTTGAAGGTTTTTCATTAGTAAGAACAGAGTGTTCAAAAACGACAAGGTCCGATGATGCAATTTCGACCGTTTCTCCCAATGAAACCTATTTTGATTAAAAAATAAAAAAGATAGCGCACAAAAAGTTAGGTCTACAACCAAAAGTCCGAAATAATCCGTTTAGCGGTTTTCTTTATGTGCTTATTTTTTAATTTTAAATTAAATTTAAATATTTTTAAAAATACTAGTTTTCGTTCTGGCAGATTATTCTAAAATACTAAAAATTGTCTTAAGATGAGAAAAAAACGATAAACATTTATAATGAAAGAAATCGTTTGGTATTTGGTAGCTTGAGACTTGTTCATTTAGACAATGAAATGAATGGTGAAAACTTAGTACTCAATCTAATAGTTTACAAAAAGTCCCTGGATCAGCCAAAATCTAAGACTGGATCTGGAGCCTGGTTTGGCTTACAGGCTGGAACATCTCTGATTAGGATCAAAGTAAAAAAAAGCTGTAAACCAAGATCACCAGTAGTTCAATGAAAGTATAGATGATGATACTCGTCAAGAATTGAGTGGAACTTGAAAAGTTCGAAGTGGTGAAGTATAAGAAAAGAGATGGAAAAGAGAGCAAGAGCGCCAAAGACGAGGCGATGAAGCATAAAAGGAAAGGAAAAGCATAAGCAATTCACAAGTTGTCAACTGGTGGTCCAAGGCCCAAGGGGGAGGGGGTGGGGCTGAAAGGGCTGGGCTCGGACCCCTTCCCTCCCTCGAAATCGCCGGGAATCCCGTTACCCCTTTGCCTAACCACTTCAGCTCCGACACAGACATCCCATCTCTTCGCCTTTTCTCCTTCATCTACTCAAATTCTCTCCATTCCCCTTTTTTCGACCCTCGTTTTTTAAATGCCCTTCATTGCGATTCGTTTTTTCCTAGGTCTCACAAATTTCCCAAAAATGAGCTAAACTGGGGTAAATTTGCAATTGAAAAAGCAGAATGAAGAAAACTCTGGTGATCGCTCCAACGACAAAATTTTACAGTTAAATAATTGACCTTTAAATCAAAATATTCAATAGGAGATCTTTTATTTTAACCATTTATTTCAATCCTATCGCCTTGCCTCCAAAAAGGAAAAAGTTTATTGGACACAATCCGAGCACTGAGTAAAATCCCTTCATTAAAAAACGAGTTTTTATCACAAACATCATGTTTAAAATGAAAAAGGTTCATTTGTAGAAGTCTTTCTCGTCCGGCATTCATTTCGCATACGAGGCGGCCGCCGAGCGGAGAAGGCATGCGAATCGACCAATTGTAACATCCTGAAAAGAAAAAGGTAAAAATGGTACATAAGACAAATTAGACCTGATCACTAGACCAAAATAGAAAATGACCAGTGAGCAAATTGTAAACCCTAAGCTAAATAAACTCAAAGACAAACCACACCTCTAGAATTGACAACGTAGCAAAAAGTTGAGCGGCCTCTTCGGGCTCGAGAATCGAATAGTTGATCAACTCCTCCAGGACATCCTTGTACATTTGCCTAAATATAAAACATAAAATGCTTTTTAAGGCTAAAATAGCCACCAGTAAAACCCACTCTGAAATGACGAGATCCCCGATAGCCATCGCCACATTTTCCGCAAATTCTCGACCCTGCTCTTTGTCTTTGTCTCGGTTTAGCGCCAGCCACCCAAACGCTTTCTAACCGTAAAACGTATTGCAACTGGATATCACTAAAAACAAACCTTCTTATCCGGTCGCACTCCGTGTTTTTCAAGATTTCGACCAAGGTTGAGAAGCTAAATCCCAAAAATTTGATTGTCAACTTTAATGGTAACTTTTTAGTTGTTAAAAATTTTTAAGTCAACCTATTAGACTACTAATTTTGTAACAAAACAAAGAAGAACCTCATCAACGTTCACGCGCAGCTTCTCTTCTGGTCGAGGCAGAGGCGGTGGCGGAGATATGTAGCGCTTTTTCTAAAAGAACAAACTAATTAAAGTCTATTGAACTCAAGATAAACTAATTCAAAATATATAGAATGCCTGTGTAGATCCCGTCTTTAACTGTTCCCGGGAATCGTCCTGTCGCGCGCGGGGTGCCGACACGCTCTGCGTTTCATCAAGCGGGTAGAATTGTCGCCAGTATTCATGCTAAATAAATCATTTCATTGAACCCCGGATACCCCTAAAAGCTTACAATTTCCCTTAATTTCGTGCTTTGATTCTCTTTGCTTCCTCGTGCAACAACTTGCTACTTTCACAACATTTTTGCTTTTGTCAATTTAACCAACCGGAGTGGCGGTTACTTCTTCATTAGCGCTGCCAACTCGTGGCTTGACTTTCTTTGGTTCTAGGATCTAAATAAAACAATACAACTTCTATTAGAATCCAAAAAACCTTTCCAGCAGATGGTTTCTTCACGTGTTCTTGCATCAGAGAGGAATTTATAAAACTAACAAAAACCTCATTAACTGGGTCTTTTTCCGACTTTTTGGCATGCCGAATCGACTCCTTGATCTCCTAAAGTTAAACAGAATAAAAAGCGTCCGACCCACAAATTAACCTCAAGAACCCGCTTTTGCTTCCCATCTTTCTCCTTCGGACGGTGACGTGATGACGAAATGAGACGCGATGATTGTGTGGGCCCCATGCAATACCTGCCTTTTCTGGAAAGATAAAATGAAAATGTGAACAATTTTTTGTAAAGCTTAATGAAGAATTTTGATCTTAAAACATGTGTTCAAACAAATTTTAAGTGACCCCACAAAATAAAAATATCTTTCTTCCTGGAGAAAGTTTTTAAATTCGCACATTGGTTTCTTCTTTGACGATTGTGGACTCTGATCTGCAGTTTTCTTAGCCAGTGCATCGGTCACCGACTCCACATAGTTAACTCTCTGAAAATCAAATCAAGGTTTACAAAACAAACAAGTTTTGCCTTCCTGTGTTTCTTCTTTTCTTTTGGATCCGGGGAAATTTCGAGCATCTTCGCTCTGGGTGGCTTGCATTTTGATCGAGAATGTGGTGAATTAATTGGAGTGCCCGGTTCGATAAATAACTAAATCAAGAATGGTTCACACAAGAAGCAAGATGCATACTTTCTTCTTTTTCTTCAAATTCAGCTCCTTCTCGCCGACTCTTTTGTGTTTGTGTTGTGTATCTGGTGGTTCAAATATTGGGGTCACGGCTTCCGGTGATGACTAAAGCAAGAAATTAAATGAAGAATTCAAAGAGTGTTCAGCTGTAAGAACTACTTTTATCTGTCAAACTGTACTAATCTTTAATTCCTTACAATGACCCATGTATTTAATAGTACTTGCCTGTTTCTCCGCTTTCGGCGGAGAGTTGTGCGTCAATTTTGGTGCTGTTTGTCTAAAAAGTGACTTCATTATTCATCACATAAAAGTTCAAAGTAATAGCTTAAATAACTAGCAGGGTGTATTAAAGCAAACAAACAAAACTGCATGTATTCTGGATGCAAATATGGTCGTTTCTTCGCATGAGAAGACGTTGTTGTCGGCGTTCTTCCAGATCCTGCCTAAAATAAAACATTGAAAACAAAAACATAAAACAAGCCGCATGTTTGAACTTTCCCACAGCAGTCATTTTGGGTTTGAACTTGTAACGATCTCGTTTGTCGGGATTGTTGTTCGGAGATGCATTGCTTTTTTGGCCGGATCGATTTCCGCTCTAAAACAAAAAACATTAACATGTTGAATAATTTTCAAAAGTACCATTTGTGATTGTTGCCTTTTGTTGTAGTTTTCTTTGTCTTCACGCAGATAACGATCGTGGGATCCATCATCTTTTCGGCGATGCTCTAAATTTTAAAGTTTTTCAAATAATTTTAAAAAGCTTGAAATAAACCTGCACTTGTATAAGCCAATCAAAATTTCTTACCAACAATCCCTTTCGCTGGCTCTCGTGGATGGCGCCTCTTCGTCGTTTGCAGGAGTTCTGCACGCGAATGCTTCTCCTTTTCAAGGCTCAGTACGTGCCCTTTCTTCGGTTTTGATAGTTTCTCCCTTGATCTCCTCCTCGCTCTTCTTAGAGCGACCTAAAAAAAATGCAAAGTTAGAATATCATTGAGAATTTGATTTGATTTGATTGTTTACCCATCAACTATTTTTTTACAAAGTCTAGAAACAAAAATTTACTTGTCGTTCCTTCGACTTTTCCATTGCCCTTGACTTTGACTTTTTGTCGGGCGAGTTGTTCGATTGCTGATCTTTCGATTTGTTGAGCGACTTGACACGACTTTTTGAGCAATTGGCATGTAGCAGCGAACGAGAGCCACCAGCGCGCCACTTCCGAGCTAAAAAAATAACTGAACATTCTTCAGTTTGCCAAAAGGTAATCCAAAAAGTATACTGATAAGTTTAACTATACACAAACCAATATTCTATAATCTTTTTGATTTAAGGTAACAGCAAAATCGTACCCCGGTAACGTTCAAGCAGCTCCTTGTTGCCGGGTCCTTGGTTCGGGTTGGCGCGTCGGAATACTAAAAACCAAAGATTAATGCAAGGAAAGTGGCTGATGAGTATTCTTGATGAGTATTCTTCATGAGTCCTTCACAAGTATAATTAGGTCTGACGTAAATTCTCAAAACACTTACTATTCGGCTTATCGTCCACATCATTCACTAGCGTCACTTTCCCTTCTTTTCGTTTCCGACCAAACGCCGAGTCCAAGACGGGTGAGGTTCTGAAAGTTCAAAAATTAATAACAACCAAGAGAAAATGAATAAAAAATAATAATAATAAGGAAGATAACAAAATTATAAATTTTTTTCAAAATCAAATAATCCTTACTGGTTGGTCATCGCGTTGTAAAATAAAAATCTGACTTGAAGTAGCGTTTAAATCCTTTTTTATTTGGGCTTTAAAGGCAAATTTTGAGGAAACAACACAAATTTGGTGATGAATGAAAATAGGCTTATGTAAATCTTGCTCGAGTTTTCTAGAGTCCAATAGTTCTACAGTATCTACTGGGTTATAAAGCCCTACTACTTGAAATTTGTAATCTGAGCATCTAGTGTTAACAGAAGACCCATTACCATAAAGTAAAGTGTTCAACTCTAATTCCGTAACTCTCAAAGGGTTAAATAGACGCCAAAAACGTTTTTATTTCGCGCACCTATTACCGTACCCCACCATTTCAGACGTTTTTGCGTCGCCACATACCGTACTCTTGCCATATGAAACCGTGTACAAAGGAAAAAATTATCTCTCTCGAAGTTTTTAGGGGTGGGACAAATGCGATCTTTTTTGCTGGAAAGATCTTCATGCTTCGTTTCATTTAACTTCGAACCATTTCTTATTGTTTTCTTTCAGAAAACCGCTCGAAAAATGAAGTGGAGAAAGGGTGACGTTGTGATGGTTGATTGGAAGGGCTGTTTCTACAAGGCCAAGATCATCGGTGTTACCGAAAGTGACGGCGAGACTCATTACAAGATCCATTACGATGTAGGGATTTAGTATTTTTTTGGAATTTGAGTAGGCCTGTTTATCCGTACTTGCATAAAATGATAATGAACCTGTCAATAGCATTGGATAATCTTTTTAATTTAGAGCTGGTCTTCAAAGTGGGATCAAGTCATTCCGGAAAGCGAGACGGATAAATGGGAAGCATTTACTGCAGAAGCTCAGGAAGCTGCAAGGGTAAATTTAATTTTGGTGTTTAGTTCTAGAGTTTTTTAGAAGCAAATCAAGGGCTTGAAGACTCGAACCAAAGGGCGTAAGCGACATGCTGCAGACGGTGGCGAAAGCGATGCAACTCCATTTGCGCCGAAGAAGAAAGCAACTATGAAAGACGCAACGGAACAAACAGTATTTGAGATTTTTCAGCTAGGAGTAAATTGGTAATTTAGTCTCGGCTTGATTTCCCAGAAACACTTAAAAACATCTTGTGTGCGGATTACGATAAAATGACAAGCTTGGGACTCTACGTAGCAATGCCGACAAAAGTCACCGTCCGTCAGATCATCCAAGAGTTTTGTGCCAAGATCGCAGCTTCGGATGAAGAAGAGATGACGGTTGGATTGATAATTTTGTTAGTTTTATTTAATGTTTAGGTTGAAGTTCAATATGTAAATGGGAAGAAGGTCACTGAAAAAACAACCAAGCACGAATTCACTGCTTTTGCGCACATGGTGGAGCATTTGCTCAACTCGATGTTCACGTGTGTTTTATTTTCAAATACTTTACGATAACTTTTTTAGCAGGTGCCTCTGTGTTGATCAGGACAAACAGCAAGTCCAGCGACTTGGGGATGAACTTTTGAAGATGAACAAGGGCGATAACGACGATTTGATGAAGCCATTCGTGCCTTCTGAGTGGGTCATATTTTATTGAGTTCTTGTAACATTTTATCAGGCATTTCGGTGTTGTGTATCTGCTTCGTCTCTTCGTGAAGATCCACGGTGATTCCGATTTCATCGATGCATGTGATCGCTACAGCTTTGTCAAGTACGTTTCATAGATTAGAAAGTGTTGTCACTCAATTAATTCGAAATCCTTCACACAATTTTCTATTCTAGGCACAGCTCTGACTTTATGAAACATTTGCTCGACAATATTGGTAATTACTACGACAAAGATGCCTACAACGAGACTGACCGTTCCGATCGTTCGGCTGCCTAAATGACTTGTCACAAGAATTTTGTTGTTTACTCGTTTGTTATCGTTAAATTTTATCATGTTTGGTTTGTTCGTTAATTAGGCCGCTTTGTGCCAACGTTTACGCATTTTGAGTTCTTTCATTGAATAAAGAAGTTTGCAGTAAAAAAGTAAAGTGACTTGACATGCCTTGGGAGAAAAGGGTGGGTTGGTTGCTGCGTCGTGGTCGGAAAGACTGTTGTAGCCTATGTTTCGTATTTTATGCTTGTTGGCTTCTTGTGCAGTTCAATGAAGAATTTGGCGATTTTATTCTTGAACATTAGCACGACGTCCCCTTGGAAGCGGCAAGTCACAATCTCTTTGCTCGGATTTCAGAACCAAATAAATCGTGACCATTCTGTAAAGAAATCAAGATCAAAAAGATCAAAATGTAAAGTTTAAACTTTTAAACACATAAGATAGTTTATTTATTTTTCAATCAAGCATAAAAGGTTAAAGCAACGGCCTTGATAAGAGGCAGATTCTAGACATAGACACTATAAACTACAAAAACGACGAACTGTAACGCTACAAACGCTTCAACTTGCGTCAAATCTGCCGGACCGACATGATCTATAGCTCAAAAATAGAGAATTTCAAGGGCTTTCGAATGAACACCCAAAAATATTAATGCTAAAGAAAGTTACAGTGGTTTGTAGCCTGACTCTTGCAGCGCGTAGTCGAAGCGATCGACTCAGGCTACAAACCACTGTAACTTTCTTTAGCATTAATATTTTTGGGTGTGCTTTAGTTCATTCGAAAGCTCTTGAAATTCTCTATTTTCTGAGCTATAGATCATGTAAATCCGGGAGATTTGAAGCCAGTTAGAAGCGTTTGTAGTTTACGTTTGTAGTTTGTTGTGCCCATGTCTACCAGATTCGGAATAAATGACCTATAGTCGTAAAAATAGCTTTCAATACTTCAGCTACGCAAAGCTACCAGCTACGGGATCATCCCTAGCATCTTTAGAATCATAAAGATCTCTATAAAGCAAAGAACGAACCCCTGAAAGCACTGGCCGCCGGCGTAGGCGAGGAAATTGCCAACTTGATTGAATATAGTAGCGCACAACGGCCAACTCTTCAAGAACGCCCAATAGATAAATGGATTGATCAAATATATGACGGTTAGCGGTACGGTGTTCGCGATAATCTGATATTGATTATCAGTTGAAGTTTGGTGCCAACGATGTTCACCTGTGCCAAAAGGAAACGCTCGCTAGCATTGTTCACGTTCACCTTTATCCGCTGAAAGTTCCTCTTTTGAATCTGGTCTCAAAATACTTTTGCTTTTTAGTTTAAGAATGATTTTGATCATTATTAATGTTTATTCATACCCAATTAACCCACAAGGAGTCATCAGAAATGAGTTTCGCTCCACTTTTTGGCAAACTGCTTACAACGGAACCCCTCCCGTTCGGAATAATCTTCCGGCAGTTCATTTTTTGCAATCCAACAACGGCTATAAAGAGCTCAACAGCTCAACAAATCTAAAGGAAAACAAAATTCAGGCTGGAAAAAGATTCTTGCTAATATCTGTTCATTGCTAATATTCGTTCATTGCTAATATCAAATTTCCAGGTGATCTGCAAGGATTGGACATTGCAATGTCCAATGCATTGGACAATGTTGGCCGTCCTTGCTTTCAATGCTAATCGAAAAGCTGAACTCAATGGGCAGTGCCTACAGATACTTTTCTAAATCAAAAGGTGCTTTCACAGGCAGAAAATGGGTCCAATTGATGAAGGATGGAAGAGAAAAAGTGAATGAGGCTCTTGAAAGAAAAAAGAAGAAGAAAAGAAACGGACCTAACGCACCAGGAAAGGAAGACCTACGGATCTAACGGACCAGGAAATCTACGAGATGAAAATCTAGATGATGAGTGAGAAGCAATGTGTGAGAAATTTAGAGAGATTTTGAACTTGAGTGATGTTGATAAAGATGATGAGTAATTTTTGATGTATGGTTATATTAAGAGTTTAAATTATTCCTTTGTACAACTTTTATGGTTTTTCTGTTTGTTTTGTTAATGTTATTTGTTATTTATGAGTTATTTTTGGTGTCTAGTTAATGTTAATGTTGATGGCGATCTCTAAAGAAAGCTCAAGAGTTTTCGGGATTCAAATGAATTTTGCCAATTCATTTTTATCATTTCTAGCAATAGATCTAATAAATAAACACGAAATAAATTAATTTTCTAGAAAATTTTTTTTAGCGAGAATAGGCCACGATTATTACCCCTTCTATTAGCCAAGAACTCAATTTTTGAGGAATTTTGAGGCAAAACGTTTTTCCTCACATCCTCTTTTGCTTTTCTAATCATTTTATGTAACGTTCGATAGCTCGCATCGCAGCTCGAGCAGCTCGCATCGCAGCTCGCATCCCAGCTCGAGCAGCTTGCATAAATTTCATATGATTTGAATGATCGTATTCGACTATTTTTCTCGCTGCAACATTCATTTTAGAAATCGTCCTCTACTTCGATATCACACCATTCCTAAATTCCTCGAGAATTGGATTGTTTAGCTAATCCCTTTCTTAGGTTAACCCTAACCGCTATTTTTCTTCCAAATAGTCGAGCAATCATCTAGAAATTCGATATTAGCAATGAATAGATATTAGCAAAAAAGTTTTGATAGTCGTTTTGATAGCCTGAATTTTTGATTGCCTTTTGGTTTAATATGTGCTAAGGTTAACAGTCGTTGAAGTCGGTTAACAGTCGTCTTTATAGCTGTCGTTGAACTGCTAAAAGTTTGCGATTATTCCAAAAAATGACAAGAACAATTTTCTCGTTTTTTTTCTTTGATCTGGATATCACACTAGAATTCTTATGATTCAAATTTTAGATTTTCAGCAAAACCTTTTTCCCTTATCGTGTGCAGATGATGATGCCTTATCTTGTACCTTATCTTCGCCCTTTTTGGGTGAGAGGTCCACGATATTTCTCTTGAATCAATAATTCTAGGATCCATCCAAAAAAACTCTACCATCATCTTGTGAATGAGCATGACATCGAGTGGAATCGTCGCTGCTACGATCACCATTCGGGCGTCAACTGCACAGGAGATTATTAGGGAAACAATGATGAGAAAACAAACTCCATTGCGTGAGAAATGCTTTCAAACAATAGCCGATAACAATCGGGAGACCGATCTGTAGCCAGGCGTGTTTCTGGACACGTTGATACCAGAAACCATTAAAGGAGAGCGCCAAGAAACGGTTCAATGATAGGGCTAAAATGTTGGACCGAAGTTTGATCGTCTCTATTTACAGTATACGTTCGATGGACTTAGATACAATTAAAGTATTAGTGAACCGACTATTGTAGTAATCCTGGTAATTTGAATTTGAATTTCAAGGGCCTGTCAAGTTTTAAGTTTCCCGGTTCTGGGAAAACATTTTATCCTAAATACATGGAAAAGCTAGAAATACCGATTTGCAAGAAACCCGAGATGAAGGTCAAATGTTGAAAGATGTACGCTGTTCCCAAACTATTGATCTGCTTGAGTAGATCATTACAGGTGAGCGATGGAAAGCTGAAATAACTTTGTTTTGTGTATGTAGATGATCTATAGATGTTATGTATATGTTCGATCTAGAATGATTCTAGATCGGACGTCTGATTTAGAGTGATCGGCTTGATTCTAGATTGGACGTTTGACCTTACTTTACTCTAGATCGGACGATCTAGAATCATAGGACGATCTAGAATCATCGGACGATCTAGAATCATCGGAGGATCTAGAATCATCGGACGTCTGATTTAGAGTGATCAGCTTGATTCTAGATCGTCCGATGAGTCTAAATCGTCCGATGAGTCTAAATCGTCCGATGAGTCTAAATCGTCCGATGAGTCTAAATCGTCCGATGAGTCTAAATCGTCCGATGAGTCTAAATCGTCCGATGAGTCTAAATCGTCCGATGAGTCTAAATCGTCCGATGAGTCCAAATCGTCCGATGAGTCTAAATCGTCCGATGAGTCTAAATCGTCCGATGAGCTAAATCGTCCGATGAGTCCAAATCGTCCGATGAGTCTAAATCGTCCGATGAGTCTAAATCGTCCGATGAGTCTAAATCGTCCGATGAGTCTAAATCGTCCGATGAGTCTAAATCGTCCGATGAGTCTAAATCGTCCGATGAGTCTAAATCGTCCGATGAGTCTAAATCGTCCGATGAGTCTAAATCGTCCGATGAGTCTAAATCGTCCGATGAGTCTAAATCGTCCGATGAGTCTAAATCGTCCGATGATTCTAAATCGTCCGACGATTCTAGATCGTCCGATGATTCTAGATCGTCCGATGACTCTAGATCGTCCGATCTAGAGTAAAGTAAGGTCAAACGTCCAATCTAGAATCAAGCCGATCACTCTAAATCAGACGTCCGATGATTCTAGATCGTCCGATGATTCTAGATCGTCCGATGATTCTAGATCGTCCGATCTAGAGTAAAGTAAGGTCAAACGTCCAATCTAGAATCAAGCCGATCACTCTAAATCAGACGTCCGATCCAGACTTAGATTTAGAGTGATCGGCTTGATTCTAGATCGAACGTATCTAGAATCAAGATCAGTCAAGATCAGATCAAGGTCAGTAAGCTCTAGAATCAGTCTAGATCGGACCTAACATATATGTAGATGATCTAAACTAGTAGGACGTCCTAATTGAGCCCTTCAACTAGTCAAGAACCCCATGCTTCCTCGAGAAATTTTAACAATTCGTGTCCTGACTTGAGGCTTGGATCTTTTTCCGGCTCCACATTTGCATTCTCCTCATGCTCTCGATTTTTCAAGAAATCCAAGAAATTGGCTACGGTAGTGCTACCAAATTAGTGCATTTTATTAGTTGTGTTTTTCTATTACGAACTGCTCTTCTATTAGTGACTGCGAAATAATAGAGAAATAATAGACCTTTTTAATCGTTTACGTGGCAACAAATTTGTTAAAGGATTCTGTCGTAAAACTTACCAGTTTAAGGCTAGTTTGCA